ATCTATGGATTACTTCAAAAAAAGGGATGCGTTTATTTTTTTTTTTTAATTTTTATTTTCTTAATATCTTAATCTAATTTTTTTTTTAAAAGCAGATCTCAATTTATCTCAATTTTTATTTTTATCCTTTATTTTTATTTTTATTTTTACTTTAAACGATTTTCACAACGTTTACCCAATGTTCAAAATCCAAAACTGGCAAATGCGAAGGCCATATCTCTACCAATATGCATCCGATTCTCAAGCAGGATACTTTAAAAGATTCGTAGCTCGATTCTCCCTAATATTGTATCAAAACCCGAGAGCCAATATGCATCCGATTCTTAAGCGTAGCACGATTCTCCGGAATTCTGCACCCAATTTCTCACATTTTGAGAGGAACATTCCAGGGCTACCTTTCATGACAGTCTTTCATGTTCCAACCCTAAGAATAATCGATACTTGCCTATCGCTTGCCAGTCTAGTAGGCCCTGGTAGAGGGCCCAAAAAGAGTATAAAAGGCGGATTTCCTTCATTCCAAATCATTAGTCAACGGACCTCCTTCACGTTTACTTCTCGCTTTTTATTTTATTTTATTTTCTTATTTTTGTTTTTGAATCTTATTTTCTCATTTGATTTATAATTTTATGTTTTATTCAATACCTTGGACTCTAATGGAGTGTGGTTACACATCCGGACTGGTCTCTGATTTTCTTATTTTCGTTTAATTTTAAATTTTTTTTTTATAAAACTCTGAGAAATACCAGTTTGCGGTAATCCGACCATAAAATAAATTGATGGCACCCTCCGCACTCGTAGGGTATTGGAAGTCGCGTATAAATGCAGTTTACTCATTTAAATTTCTAAAAAAATAATGTTCTTATTTATTTATTTTATTTTGCTTTTAATGAACGAAAGTCCTCTTGGTTGTCAGGAGTGATTCTAGATTTCATATTCATTGCTGATTTTTGTTATATTTTTTTTTATTAAATTTTTTTTTACAATTTATTAACTTTTTTCTATTGGTTTTGTATCTCTTCTATCAGTATCTATGTTCAAGATACTGACATAGATCTTGACACCTCCAAGTGTGATCACCGGGAAGCCTATATCTCTGCCAATATGCACCCTCGTGGTGTTCAAAATGAAACCTTGCTTCTTTGATGATTTTTTTTTTTACTTTTATGTTTTAAAAATTAAAATCAACAAATTCCTAGAGGGTCCCTTCAAAAACACCGGGAATAGACCATATCTCTGCTTATATGCATCCGATTCTCAAGCGGGATACTTTAAAAGATTCGTAGCGCGATTCTCCGCAATTCTGCATCAAAACCCGAGAGCAAAATATTTTTTAGATTTTTTACAAAATTCCTTGGGGGTCCCCTTCAAAAACACCGGGAATGCCAGTATGCCCCCAAGATGGCTATATCTCTGCCAATATGCATCCGATTCTCAAGCGGGATACTTGTAGCGCGATTTTCCGCAATTCTGCATCAAAATCCGAGAGCAAAATATTTTTTAGATTTTTTTTCAAAATTCCTAGGGGGTCCCCTTCAAAAACACCGGAAATGCCAGTATGACCCCCAAGATGGCTATATCTCTGCCAATATGCATCCGATTCTTAAGCGTAGGCACGATTCAATTTCTTACATTTTGAGAGAAACATTCCAGGGCTACCTTTCATGGCAGTCTTTCATGTTCCAACCCTAAGAATAATCGATACTTGCCTATCGCTTGCCAATCGAGACTAGTAGGCCCTGATAAAGGCCCCAAAAAGAGTATAAAAGGCGAATTTCCTTCATTTCAAATCAGTAGTCAACGGAACTCCAAACCGTTGACTTCTCGCTTTTTATTTTATTTTTGTTTCCTATTTTATTTTTTCAAAAACTGGTTTTCTGATTTTATGTTATTTTTTTCGTTTTAAAAGTTAAATATATAAAATAGACTTAGGCATCTTATATTTTTGTTGTTTCCATTAATTTTGGTGCCATCCTTTGATACAGTACTTCAGAGAAATCCTTTCTTTTGTTCAAGAATAAATTTTAACAATAATTTCGAGTGATCGATCGTTTTTATTTTATTTTTAAATTGGTGGTCTGATTTATTTTATTTTATTTTTTAATAAAAAAAATCAATGGTGTCTTGAAAACTTCCAACTCTGAGTTTACCCCCATTTCTTCAGCTCTTCTTTATTTATTTCATTTATATTTATTTTTTAATACTTTGGATGCATTTAAAGAACATGAACATGTGAACATGTGAAGTTTTCCGACTGGTCGGTCTCTGATATTTTTTTTTTAATACCTTGTACAATCGAATGCCAACCAAGGGCACCTTAGATTCATTTCTAAAGCGCCAGGAAAAGTAGTCTTAATATTGACGGGAATTTGATAATTTTTTAATTAATTATTAAATGTTTTTTATAAAAAATCTTGAGCACTAGAGAATTGATACTCCATGTGGGTTTTGAATATTACAGCCTACCATTTTTTATGATCTTCGTTCTGTTTTTTGTTTTCTGTTTTTTTCTTCCTATTTTCCAAGGTATCTTGGTCTGTGAAGCACGCCAATACTGCACCTACTACTTATTTTTTTTTTATTATTTTATTTTTTTGTATTTGAATTATTTTTTAAATTTTAAATGTTATACAACCGCCCTCCTTCTCAATTGTCATTAGGGCTTCGTTTAATTTATTCAAAGACTCTTCCTTCTCCGATGATGGAATTGGATTCGATACGATCCATGTAAGAAAAAAATTTTGTTTCCTTTTGAAGACGTCCAGAGAAGGCTATAGTTTTAGCAATTTCTATTTAGTTTTCAAGCAGAATACCTTAAATGATTAGTAACATTTTTGACTATTATTTTAAAAGAAAAAAATATTTTTTAGAATTTTTTAAAATGTCTTTAAAAACTCAAAGTAATTTGTTTCATCTGGCTTACCAGGCGTATGAGTAATATTTTTCAGAAAAATTGTATCTTTTTCAAAAAAATTAAAAGAGAAAAAGAACAAACACTGGATGGTTCTGTTTATTTTTTCGCTTTGCCTTTGCGTGACCTTTGGCGTCGCGACGCGTGAACGATGACGTCGCCGCTGGCTCATCTCTTCCCCAGCCCGGCTACCAATTTTTTTTTCCCCCCCTCGCCGCCTTCCCTCTGGCAATAAAATTGATGTCACGTTTTTATGACGCCGTTGATGAGTCGTTATCTTTGATTTCAGCACGCAGGCTCGGCGCGGCTCCATTTCCGTCTCCTCTCCCGGCTGTCCTTCAACTACACAGCCCCTCCCCTCCCCGATTCTGTTTTGTTTTTGTTGTTTTGTGTGTTTGGACACAAGTTTACAAAGCCGCATCCTGGTCATCGCAGAGGCTCGAGAAAGGGGGTCTTACTAGGTGGGGTATTAGAGAAATGACGGAAAAAACGTTACTATGAATTAAGAGTCTGGGAATTGATGTTCAGTCCATGTAATCCATTGTTTTTATATAAAATAAAATAATTAAAACTAAAAATAATAATAAAAATAAAAAAAAATAACTTTTGGTTTAACGTTTATTTATAGTTTCCTGAAAAAATGTATAGATATTGATCCTAAAAATCCGTAAACATTTTTTATCCAATTTTTTTTTTCCAATTTTCCCAAAAAATGTTTCAAAAATATTCAATATTTAAATAAAATAGATTAAAGACCTAATGTGTGGTCTCATTTTATTTCATTTTGGTTCATAGAAGGCCCCAAAATGGAGGACCTAAAAAGAGTATAAACGTAGTTAACGGTCCCCCAAACAACTGACTTCTCGCCTTTTATTTTATTTTTGTTTATTTTTATTTTTCTTTTAAATTAATGGTCTGGTTTTGTTTCATTTGGTTTCTTATGAAAAAAAATATCAATGGGGTCTTGAAAATTCCAGTTCTGAGTCTACCCAATGGGGCTCTTCTCAGCTGAAAAAAACTCCATTGGGTGAACTCAGAACTGGAAGTTTTCAAGACTCAATTGATATATTTTTTCATTAAAAACCAAATAAAACTAAATAAATCAGACCACTAATTTTGAAAAAATAAAAAGGGAAACAAAAATTAAAATAAGAAGTGAGAAGTCAACTGTCTGGAGGACCGTTGACTACTGATTTTGGAATGAACGAACGCCGCCTTTTATACTCTTTTTAGAGCCTCAATTTCAGGGCCTACTAGTCTCGATTAGCAAACGATAGGCAGGGAACAGCTATCGATTGTTTTTAAGGTTGCAACATGAAAGACTGCCATAAAAAGCAACCCTAGTCTCTCAAAATTTGAAAAATGTGTTATCCCAAAAAAATTTCTTAAAATTATTTTGCTCTCGGATTTTGATGCAGAATAACGGAGAGATTTGCGCCACGAATCTTTAAAAGTATCTCGCTTAAGAATCGGATGGAATATTGGCTGAGATATAGCCTTCCCGGGGGCTATTAATTTTTTTTAAAATCACAGATAATTTACAAATCAATATAGATCATATTCTCCTCTATAATGATCTACAAATCCTCAATAGAAAGCACCGTCCCCCCTTTATAGCTACTCCTTACACGCCACTGCAGCCATTTTTCTCTCTCTCTCTCTTCCTTGCTTTGCCTCTTCTCCCACCCACTTCTTGCCAATTCACAATTGCGTCAGGTGGTCGCGGTCCTGCGGTCATTATTCTTCTTCCTTCTACCTTTCTCCTTTCTCCTTTTCTCTTTTCTCTCTCTGCTGCTGGCCTTTGTTTTTTTAATTTACGCGCCCAGTTCAATTTGCGCTTTTTGTTTTATCTCCCGGCTCATAATTTATTGTCTCGGCCTTTTCTTTTCGGTTTTTACAAATTGAAAAAAAAAAAATACCAGATGTGCTACCGCCTCTTCTCTTTTTTTTGGGGAAACAGTTGTTTTTTGTCGTTATGCTTTTTTTTACGATTTTTTTAGGTACTTGACAAACAGAAAGTAGTATAAAATGCAGCAACCAAAAGCAACAGAAGATAAAAGCAGATAGCTGGGGAAAGAGAAAGTAAGAAAGGACTTCAAGATGGCTGTTTACCGTTTCCTGTTGCCTCTAACTGTACTAATTCTGGGCATATTGTCCGCCCAGGCTCAGATCTTCGGGCGAGGGGAGTGCCGCCTGACGCCGATTCCCGTTAAGGTGGGCGGCCAGGTGTGCGAGAGGGTCTGCTACCACAGGGGATACCGCGGTCCGCCCATCATCTGCCGCCCGGTGACGCAGGCGGGCCTGGCAAGGGTTTGCGGGGGCGGGTGCTGTCGGAGCGGCTTTAGCTGTTTACAGTTATTGTATACCTAATCGGTATCTAACCCGCTACACTAAATTTAGAGCAATTTATAATGAAATTTTAATTAAAGAAATTCAAAAAATAATAAAATAATGGTTTTTTTATTTTATTTCTTATAACTCTTAATCGGTTCTTGCAGTTAAGGGCACTAATTGGTTGAGACATATTAAAGATTACTGGGTTTTTGGACGGGATTAAAAGTTTAGATCAATTTTCAGTGCAATTTTCATAAATAAATTAATAATTATAAACAAAAATCTAGAGTTTTCTTTTTATACTTGTTTCTCCAATAATTCTCCATAGCCAATAATTTGGCACTGTTTCTTGGAAGGTATAACAAAATCTGTATCTATTTTTTATTAAATATGATTAAATTAATCAAAAAAATTAACCAAATATGTGGTATTTATTTAGGATCTACCTCTATAGCCTATAATTATCATTGAGCTTTAAGTTTCAAGGTAAAGACGTAAAAGAAACATATTGTTTCTATCCATAACCTGGTTATTTAGGTTCAATAACATATTTTGATATACAATGTTAATAATAATTCGTAATACTATGTAGTACAAAATAATAAAAATACACACTTTTTCCCTTTATTTTTAGCAAAACTCATCAATTTAATTTCATTTCTAATAACTCTTATCGACATAAGACTCTTATTTTTAAGGTAAGTACATTTTATATTTAAAATATTTTATTTCATATCATTGTAATTAATATTTTGGTGTATACATATATGTACATAAATTATCTAATCACATTTGCTTTTTAAACATTGTCTTTTTGTACAATTTTTATTAAATTTTATTGATAAATTGACATACACATATTTAAATATTTGACAAACATATATTATAACTACATATTTGACAACATTCTATGTAAGCTATACTCTTAGCCTCTTATGGTATTACTCCTAGTACTCGTCTTCCAAAAACAAAGGTTCAAACCGCGGAACCTTCTAGCTTTTGTTATCTATATTGGTACAAGATCCTACCAACCTAAAAAAGAAATCCTACCAATACAAAAAAAGAACCCTATAACATAGTAGGCCCTTTGATTTTTGACAACCAACCTTTTTTCTAGCTCTGAAAAATTAAAAAAAAATATTTCCAAGATCCTCCCCAAACCAATAAATAAAACCACAAAATTTGAAGTGTAATTGTGTTTATTATAAAATATATATATGTCTGTTTATGTGTAGTGTTTGAAGGGGGGGGAGGTATGGCCCGTCGTCGTCGTCAGCTCTAGCTTCTGCTTCTGTGTCCGCTTCTCATAGTATGTAACTCCAATAAGTGCAATAACATCCTTCTTATCAACTAATTGTAGTACAAAATATATAACACCATCGCTTTCTTCTTAAAAAATATATATATTAATCGTGCTGCGTTACTTGTGCGATGTGAAATTCAAAACTGGACTAGAAATTTTCTAAATAAAATGAAAAAAATTTTAATATTGATATTGAAAGTCATGGGCATGAACCCTTAAGGTCATATACCTTATCCAGATTTGTTGCGGTTGTATCTAGTTGACCTTGCTTGGCCATTGTCTTCATTCTAACAACCAGCTTCTTTTGCTCTTTTAGACGTTTGCTCGGCGATAGCAAAATAGCTGATTTACTCCTGGTTATGATCCTCTTGGCTTCTACTTCCTCTATCTTTTTCACGACTCGGCTCGGCATCGTGCAAGAGAGGTGGCGCGGTGGCGGTATCACGCCCACGCAGACAATACAGAGTCCAAAATTTTAAACGAAAAAGCAAATACTTTTTTGGTAATTTTTTTTTTTTTTTCAGAACCTTAAACACGAAAATTCAAATTGAATAACTTTTTGAAATTTAATTTTGTTTCTTGAATTTTAATTATTATTATTATTTTTTGGTTTAGTTATTTATTTTTTGCTTAAAATGAATTATTAGTTTTATTTTCTGTTTATTATTAGACTGGATATTAATATTATTATTTTTTGGTTCAGTTTTTGTTATATTAAAATTAATTATTAGTTTTATTTTCGGTTTATTATTTGACTGGAGCGTTTGATGTGTTCGGGGTTTGGGTTTGGAATGAATTTTGAACGTACCAAGCATTGACTGGTAAACTTTTTTGGGCATTTGGCTCCATAGACTACTGGGATGGGGAAAAATTTGAATTCAAAAAAGTTTGATATAAAAAGAGAACTAAAATGTATAGAACTTGAAGAAATCAAAGAAAAATAATAAAAATAAAGCTTATCAGTTGGTTTCCAAAGGGCTTAAACCCCGACTGCCATGTTTAATCATACACCTAGCTAGAAACAACGATCATACCCATAAACTATGCCTTAAATACAAAATTAAGGTTTAAAAACCTTACATTAAAAATAAAACAGAAGAATTACATGTTTATTCAAAAGAATAGAACCCAAGCCGACACGAAAAAGCATTCAAATTCAGAAACCATAAAAATCAATTAATTCTATAGAAAAAACTAGCAAGAACTTAAATTTAACCATCAAAAATTACGTTACATCGAAAAAAGGTTTAAAAATCTAATTTAAGAAATTAAAAAAAATTATATATTGTTCTTTTTTCAAAGGACTTGTACCTCTACCATTAAGTTTATCCATGAAAATAGTGGTATCTAAATTCAACAACTAGCTAGAACATTAAAAAAAGTTAAAAAAATATAGTTTTCATGTTTTTTAAAGAGTCGAACCCCAACACACAATATCAATCACAAAAATGGCTTAATAAAATCCTCTTGATTCGCCTTTCAACCATTCATGTTAATGCATTATTAACATAATTAGATTATCATAACAATGATGGCCATTAATTTGACAAAAATGGCAAATAAATGTACAAACTTTAGGGAAAAACTTTTAATTGTAAAATTCACTTTTTCCATAAAATTCACTCGTTTGTTTTATTAAATGACATTTGGCAGTTGCGGTTATGCTGTTTTTTTACTCCTCATTAACATGAACATGTTGCAACTTTCATATTGCAACTTTATACCTGGCCATTAACCATTCAGAAAATTATAACAACTGTTTTTATTTAAATTTGTATTTCCTTTTTTTTTTTTTTGTTTTTTTTGGTCGGAAAAGTGCACAATGAAATGACGCGTACAATGAATTCATGCTTTCGCTAAATTTAACTCAATTAATATACAATTTGTAAACATTATGCAGCTGGGGATTTAATTATAGAACCGATTATTAGGGACACAGGGTGAGGGGTATACAGTTGCCGTGGTTATCCCGGGCATAGCCCCGGGCACAATGGCATCCGGTGGGTGACTTCCAGCAGCGTTGGCTCCACTCCTGGCAGAAGGACTCGCACCTGCAGATCGGATTACTCATCCGGCACTCGTAGGCTCCGCAACTACCCGATCCCGATTCCGATCCCGATCCATTCGGCGCTCCATTAATTCCAGATGTTATTGTTGCAATTATTAAAAATAATATTACAAGCACTTGCCATCGATTTTGTTTATCCATTGTGAGTTGTTTACTTCAGAAAGGCAAGCTTTTTATAGGTTTCGATTGATTTTTTGTTTTGTTTTGGGTCTAGGGGGTGTTCTAGTAGGAGTAATTAATATTTTGGACTTTTTGGGAATATACATTTTAGGGATATTCAGTTTTTGTATGTATTAATTGCTTTTCTGATGGTTTTATACTCGAAATATTGTTTAAAATGTCAGTATTTTTGAAAAACTAAGCTATTATTATACATTTTCTTATTCAAATATCCTTGTTTTGCATATATTTGAAAGAAATACCTTTATTTAAAAATATTTATATAAAAGAAGAACATATTTTTTACGAAAATTGCTTAATTTTGAACAAAATTCCATTATTTTTGAATAAATTGCATTATTTTTAAAGAAAATCACAGATTTCTTAAAGAAAATACTTGTTTTTTCAAGACAATTGCATATTTTTGAAAAGAGTTAAATATTTTTAAAGAAAATTTCATGTTTTTGCAGAATATTACACCTTTTTTAAAGAAACTTACATGAAAAAGGTTATATATTCTTGCAGAAAATTGCATATTTATGATGAAGAGGACATTTTTTTTAAAGAAAATGACTCTATTTTGTCAACTAAACGCAAAAAAACATGTATTTTTCCTTAAAAAAAACGAAAATCATATAACAAAAATATACTTCTTTTATATGCCAGAAAAGAATTCAAATATAACGTCCCGCTTAAGTCTTTCTGGCCACCCTTGGCAACCCTAACTGCTCGATCTGGCAACGCTACCTAACTTCCCTACATTTTTCGGAAAACCCGATCGCTATGACCTTGGTTTTTCATTCAAAATAAAAACAATACAAGTTTTAATTAAAAAAGTGAAGTGAAATAATTAAATATCAGATCTAAGCCCCTTTTATAAGTGTTTTAAGTGAAAAGTTTTATGTGAAACCACTAGGTATTTTCGGTATTTCCACAAACGGTCACACCAATGCGATCAATTCAAAAGACCAAACTGATGTGATTTAATAAATGCTTCAAAGAAGAGTGAAATTATCCGAAAAAGGACAACAAATAGAAAGTGAAAGTGGAGTGTAGAAAGCAAAATGGAACCGAAGAAGCTAAGTGCCGTGCATATTGCTGTGCGAGAGGCCCCTTTCCGTCAGTTTCTGGGACGACGCGAGCCCAGCGTCGTTCAGTTCCCACCGTGGGGCGATGGCAGGGTAAGTCTAACTGTACACGATATCTAAGAATCTAATCAAAGTGCATCTACGAATCTTAATTAATTCTTGTTCTCTTACAGTCACTGGTGGTGGATCAGAATGAGTATAACTTCGATCATGCCTTCCAGGCCAACTCCAGTCAGGAGCAGCTGTACGATACGTTGATCCTGCCGCTGGTGGATAAGGTCCTTCAGGGCTATCCATGCACGGCCCTGGCCTATGGACAAACTGGCACTGGCAAGAGCTACTCCATGGGCATGGCGCCGCCCAAAAATGTAAGAAAATTAAAGGGGGGTTTGGTGGTAATAGTAGGAGGGCTTAGCTTGAAAGAGGGATATTATTATAACAATGATATTTTTCTATGGTCTTCCCTTCTTTCTTCCATCTTATTACTAATGTTTCATAGAAAGCCATAGGGATATAGTCCGTATATTCCCTTCTTTCCACTTTTTTTCCATTTTTAATCATTAACTTTTTGAAACGATCATTGAAAACCTTTAAATAATTATATTTCTAATAACTTTTTAATAAAAAAAAGACAATAAGAAAGGTTTTATAATCAAATCTATAATATTTTTAATAGAGTTCTTAAAGTAAAGTCGCTTTTAAACACAAATTCTGGTGGGATATTGTCATATAATCCCACCTTTCCATAGTCTTCCATTAATTATCTCTACATTTTCATAAAAAATTCTTTAAAACAAAATAATTTCAACAATTTTTAACTAAAGAAATTCAAATAGAAAGGTTTTCTTATCAATTTTATGCCACTTTTGAAGTATTTTAAAAAGTAAGGTAAAGGTAGTTACTTTCATAAATAAATACCTTTAAATAGCCTTTAAAGTAGCTACCATTTGTCTATCATTTTCATAAAAAACCTTGAAAACATTTAATTTTCTACAACCTTTCATTAAAAAAAACAGTCAATTCTAATAGCTTATCCCTAAAATTAGTTATATTTTTCAAACAAAAGTAAAGCCAGTAACAGAAACCCTTAAATTTTAATCCAAAAACCCTCAAGAAGTAGCCCACTTCCTACTATGGTATCTACACCCTAAAATATCTTCTTAAAAAACATATCTTTTCAGATCCTGCAACCCGAACAGATTGGCATTCTGCCCCGCTGCCTCAACGACATCCTGGCGCGCCTCAGAAGCCAGCAGGAGAACCACACGGTGCCCATCAAAGTCTCTGCCTCCTTCATCGAAATCTACAACGAGAAGGCCTACGATCTGCTGAGCAGCTCCCCGCATGTGCCCATGGTGCCGTCGAGGTGCCAGAGCTGCACCAGCCTGATCCTGACCAGCCAGGATGATCTGCAGCGTCTCCTCCAGCTGGGGACTGGCAATCGCAAGGTCCGAGCCACGCCCATGAATGCCAATAGCTCGCGTTCCCATGCCATTGTTACGATTCATGTGCGGAATGGGTCGCAGCACTCGCGGATGAATATTGTGGATCTGGCGGGCTCGGAGGGCGTGCGGAGGACGGCCCACGAAGGTGTGGCCAGGCAGGAGGGCGTCAACATCAATCGCGGCCTGCTCAGCATCACCAAGGTGATCATGTCCATGGGAGCGGGGCATTCTCTGATACCCTATCGGGATAGTGTGTTAACCACGGTTCTGCAAGGTGAGTGGGAATGAGTTGTTATGGTCTTTTCGTATTTATTGGAGAGATGTCTTCTTTGTTGCAGAATCCCTGACGGCCAAGTCGTATGTCACCTTTCTGGCGTGCATCAGTCCGCATGCCGCCGATCTCAGCGAGACAGTGGCCACTCTGAGGTTCGCCACCAGTGCCAAGAAGTTGAGACTGAATCCCCAGCAGTTGCAGCGCAAGGTGAGAAGGGGTGGTACTTCTAGCGGTTCTCTAAGATCTTCGACAGGTTGTAGTCCTTCATCTCTAGGGTCTTCTCCCTCACAGCCTTCTCCCAAACCTCCTCCTATAAAGCTCCTCTTACTGGTCCTCCACATAGCTCCCTTTTAAATATAATTAAAGTCCACACAGTCCAAGATCACCTCTCGCATCCTCTGCCGGAAAGTCGTTTCGTTTCCCGCTCCCAAGAACCCAGCACCATGGAGATCGGTTGTGGCGCCTGCCTCTATCCGCTCGCTGATGGCCTGCAGGTCGGGCACATCCTGGCCCTGCATCGTGACTATGGGCAGCACCATCATGGCCAGAAGGAGACCCACAGCCGCCTTGCTTTGGACTTGCTCCTCGAAAGCCCAGCGGGGCATTAGCTCATCCACTTTCTCGTCCAATCTGTGGGAGAAACAAGGCTTTAATGGAAGACCAGACCTGGAAGGTCAACACTCACCTTTCCAGATGAAGACCCAACTCCAAGTAGTAGTCCTCCAGGATGTTCGGGAGATGCTCTTGTCGGAAGCGCCTGGAAGTGCAGGTGAAGATGAAGTAGGCCAGGTCCGTGACGGGAGAAGCGTAGCGCATGAGCTGCCAGTCGATGAGGCGGACATCCTCCACCCGTCCACTGGCCACTACCTTGTACAGGATGTTGTTGTTCCAGCAGTCGCCATGACAGATGACAGCAAAGGGTTCACAGTTGGAGCCACTGACCAATGGCAGCAGCAGGTCGAAGTAGGATCCTCTGGAGAAGTAGGCCACCAAGCGGGATCTGTAGATTTCATCGTCCTCCGGAGAGATCAGAGCGGAGAGGGCACTGCCCTTGAGATTCTCAAAGTAGACGCCCAGGGCGTGGTCATCCCGCCGCTGCTCGAAGATGTCCACCAGCTCCTGGAGCGGCTTCATCCGTTCCGGCCACTGTTTCTTGGCCGCCAACGAGATGGCATGCAGTTTGGCGTAGGACCGAATGACGAGACGCACCTGCTCCAGGGACAGGTCGAGAAAGCGGTTATGCAGCAGAAAGCCCGTGGCGGAGAGGTCCTCCAGGACGATGCACTCGTTGGGCTCGTCCGGGCGTGTGCCAAAGCAGTGGGCGTGCTGCCGGAAACGATCCTCGCACGGCACCCTCCACTTCTCCTGGAAGTGCTCCGCCAGCGGGAGGAACTCCTCGTAGGCTGCCGTTTCCCGGAGGAAGCAGGGACGCGCGAAGAATTGCTTGCGGCGCACACGATTCTGCGGCGGCAGCTTCACCACCAGGCTCCGTCTTCCGGTGGCCACCTGCAGCCGCCAGACCACGCCCAAGTAGTTGTCTCCCTTGGCACTGGCCCTCTCCAAGCGAAGTTCCGGGTTGGCTCCCAGTTCGGGCCATAGTTGGTTCACCAATTGGCGGAGAAACAGAGTCACCTGCTCGTTGGGAAGATCTTCCTCCAGTGGGGCTCGTTTCTTAGCTGGCTCGGTTTGGGTGTTTCCTGGAGTTTCGCGGTTCTCCAGCTTGTTCTTCAGATTCTTCTCTTGGTCTAGCTTCTGAAAGGATTCTTCTTGGACTTCTGTTTCAATTTCTGATGAAGGCTTCTCCAGATTCTTCTCTAATTCTTGATCCTTTGGTGATTCTTCTGTGGTTGCTGTTTGAATTTCAGATCCCCCTACGTTCTCCAGACTCTTCTCCTTATTTCTAGTAATTTTTTCCAATCCCTCTTCTAATTTTAGATCTTTTGAAGATTCTTCAATGATTTCTGGTGATATGTTCTCTAGGTTCTCCTCTAATTCTAGTTCCATTGGTGATTCTTCTCGATTCTCATCCTTTTTTTCATTTTTTGGTATTACTTCTGCAGTTTCTGTAGATTCTTCTTCAAGGCTTTCAGGCAAATCTTTTGTAGTCTCTGCTGTGTCTACTTTCTTCTGGTTTTCCCCTTGGGACTCTTCGATTTTTAAAGATTCTGTTAATTCTTTTTCGGTCTTTTTGGAGTCCTGGCTGGTTGGACTCTCTTCTAAAAGTTCTTTAGTTTCTTCAGAGTTTTCTTCTAAAGATTCTTTTGTAGTCTCTTCTATAGACTCTCCAGATTCTTCTTGTTCTGCCAATCCTTCAGGATGGTTCCTAACTTCATGTTTAGCATTGTCTTCTTCAGTTTCTTCTGTTTTCAAATCGTCTGGCTGCTTCTCTTGACTCACATTCGCTGGCAATTCTTCAATATCCTCTAGGGACTCTTCTTGGTTTGACAATTCTTCAAGATTTTCAGTTACATGAAGCTTTTCGTTGTCTTCTTTAGGTTCTTCTGTCTTTAAATCCTCTTCCTGCTTTTCTTGACTTACATTTTCCGGCCCATCTTCGGGGTTTTCATCTAGCTTCTCTTCCGGAAGATTCTCCTGTATAGATTCGTCGGATTTTGAAGTTTCAGAGAGTAGTTCTGGACTCCCCGAATCTTCCAAAGAGTCTTCCTTTTTCTCGCCTTGGTCTTCCCCCCTCACATCATCAGCTTTCTCCTCCAACTGACCTTCCGGAATATCCTCGTTCTGCTCCCTGGATTCCTCCTCGTCGTGTCCGATCTGCTCCCTGGCCTGGTCCATTGTAGTCTGCGCCACCGCCCCACCTGCGACCTGGTTTTATAGACAACTGGGCCCCAACCGCAGCGACCGCAAGTCGCATGATGCATGATGCAGTTACTCGGGTTCCATCTCACTGTTCTCCATCTCTCTCTGTCCGATTGCAGCAATCGGTGACCGCACAGACGCCGCACGCCTTCCGGCGACCGCTTAGCAGCTCGACGGCCATCAAGAGGCCCCTGCAGCCCGCTGCCCAGACCAGCATTTGCACCGCCGCCTCCCCCCTGAAGTCCAAAAACCAGACGATGCTCCAAAGGACGCGCTCCGACATGGGCCTGACCCCCAAGGCAAAAAAGAGGTGAGTAAGGTAGCTTCCAGTACGTGGCAACGGATCTAATTCCTAAATAATCCTTTAGAGCTCGCGAGGTTCTGAAAATGGAGGACACCACCCTGTCGGTGACGTCCATCAACGTCTCGGACTGCAGTCTCAGCTTGATCGAGTACCAGGAGGAGCTCGAGAAGGACAAGCAGCTGATGCCGCCGCCTAGTGCAGGGATGCGAGGACTAGCTCCTTCTGGCCAAAAGAAGGTCATCTATGGGTCTGACAGTCGGCTGCACTCCACCGCCCTGGAATCGGCGCTGGAGGAGCACCGCCCTGTATTTGTGCCACCACCTGCCACCAGTCGTCGTTGCCAGCTCTTCACCTGCCCATCCAGCTCCATTGAGGAGGAGGCCGAGGAGGAGGAGGACACCCTGTCGGAGATGCCGACGATTTCCAATCGCCAGAAGGCCCTCTCCGGCATACAGCCACTTGAGCCGTCGCCCCCGAAGCCCAATCCGCCTGTCCAACGAATGCTCCGTCGTTCCACGCGACTGATGAGCATCCAGAGCATCCACGAGAGCAACACGACCCAGAGACTCAACAAGACCGAGAACCTGCGGAGGAGTGTGCGGCTGGCGCAGCTCAAGGAAGAGCCAGCTAGGGACTCGAACAAAACGAAGGGTGTGGTGAAGGCGATGGATCTGATACCCACTGTGACTGTCGGGACAGGGGAAGTAGCCAAAAAGAAGACCAAGAAGGAGAAATCCAGCTGGCTGGATAGTCATCGGAAGGACTTTCTCAATCTTCTCAACAATGGCAGCGTCAAGGAGCTGAAGAAGCTGCCGGGGATTGGGCCAAAAACAGCCGCCTCCCTGGCCACATACAGGTGACTATACAAGCTATAAGCAGAGATCTTCCAGAGATCAGAGGATAATCTATAACTCCCTTTCAGATATGTGGTGGGCTCGTTTAAGGACCTCGGACAGGTGCAAGAGCTGCCCATCTGGGCGGGAAACAAGTGGCACAACGTCTGCATCGCCAACTGCTTGGAATCCTAAAATCCAAACACCAATAATTAATTTAAAAAAAAAATAACAATAATTTAATGCTTCTCTTAAGTATTTAATTTTATGTGTAATATTCCCTTTTAATGACTTTTTTTTTATTTTAAAATATATTTTTAAAGAAATCTCGAAAAAACAAAAATTAGAGAAAGCATAGCGCCTGGCGCCTATAATGGAGAATTTTTTATTTTTATGACTTTACTTTGTTTTAAAATTATATTACAATTATATTTTAAAATTAGAATTATTCATAGACCCTACAAGTCCTACGTCATATTGACTTAATTATCGCGTTTTTTAAATAAGAACCCTATCGTATATTATTTTGTAATAGTTTTATAACTAGTACCCTTAAGAATTTATAGTCTATGGAATATATATATATTTTTTTTTTGTGCAAATTCATTTATCACCTTTGAAAGTATTGAAGTATACTTTCCCTCAATAATATTTACCTTCAAGCTGTGGCTCCTCTTTGGAGGAGTGTTTGAGTATCCGTATCTTTGTGCAAGTGGTTCTGGATGTATCTTCTAGAACCATTTACAAGACAACCCACTCACCAGCATTATCAGTAAGGCAAACCAAACAAAACAATTTGCTTACCGATATAGGGTCTTGAGCTTCGCATTCTATACCTGGTATTGAAAGGGTATATTAAATGGGGTTTAGGTAGCAACTCTATAAGGTCTTGTAATATTAAAGGGTGATTATTTATACCCGGTACTTTGAGAGTTATGGAAACTGTATTCCTAATGTTAGATTAGAGATTATAGAGTTATGGATATTTTACTTAAGTATATATGTATATATTAAATTAATATCAATATTCTTTCTATTATTTCGTAAAATCTTACAATACAAAAGATTAACTACTTATATCCGGTACTTTCTGAGTTATGGATATTGTTTTATAATATACATCCATATATTATATTAATAGCAATATAGCGAAAGCCCAACTATTTATTCCCAGTACTTTCAGAGTTATGGATTGTACTATAAAATACTATAATATTATATATCCAAATATTATATTAAAAGGGTTTTATGAAGAAACCTGTGCAATATTCGTTTCTATTATTGCATCAAATCTTGTGATCTAAAATTTCAATTATTTATACCCGGTACTTTAAGAGTTATGGAAACTATCTTACCCTAAAGCTGGTCCGTTTTCTCATCTATATCTTGAAGTCTCCAATTATTCCAATACCAATTTTCAGCCAAATAAAGCGATCCCTCCAGGAAAAGTGGACAAAAAATCTAAAAAATATTTTGTCTCAGGGTTTTGATGCAGAATTGTAGCAAATCGATCTAGAAATCGTTTAAGGTACTCCGCTTAAAAATCGGGTGAGAATTGGGGAAGATATAGTCATCGCAGGGGGCCCTATAGGGGAAAACCCCATTTTTAAGGGATCCCATCAGGAAAAATGGACAAAAAATCTAAAAAATATTTTGTCTCAGGATTTTGATGCAGAATGATAGCAAATCGATCTAGAAATCGTTTAAGGTACTCCGCTTAAGAATCGGGTGAGAATTGGGGAAGATATAGCCATCGCAGTGGGCCCTATAGGGGAAAACCCCATATTCAAGGGATCCCATCAGAAAAAATGGTCGAAAAATAGAAAAAATATTTTGTCTCAGGATTTTGATGCAGAATGGTAGCAAATCGATCTAGAAATCGTTTAAGGTACTCCGCTTGAGAATCGGATAGGAATTGAGGAAGATATAGCCATAGCAGTGGGCCCTATAGGGGAAAACCCCATTTTTAAGGGATCCCATCAGGAAAAATGGACAAAAAATCTAAAAAATATTTTGTCTCAGGATTTTGATGCAGAATGATAGCAAATCGATCTAGAAATCGTTTAAGGTACTCCGCTTAAGAATCGGGTGAGAATTGGGGAAGATATAGCCATCGCAGTGGGCCCTATAGGGGAAAACCCCATATTCAAGGGATCCCATCAGAAAAAATGGTCGAAAAATAGAAAAAATATTTTGTCTCAGGATTTTGATGCAGAATTGTAGCAAATCGATCTAGAAATCGTTTAAGGTACTCCGCTTGAGAATCGGATGAGAATTGGGGAAGATATAGCCATCGCAGTGGGCCCTATAGGGGAAAACCCCATATTCAAGGGATCCTATCAGAAAAAATGGTCGAAAAATTGAAAAATATTTTGTCTCAGGATTTTGATGCAGAATGATAGCAAATCGATCTAGAAATCGTTTAAGGTACTCCGCTTAAGAATCGGGTGAGAATTGGGGAAGATATAGCCATCGCAGTGGGCCCTATAGGGGAAAACCCCATTTTCAAGGGATCCCATCTGGAAAAATGGACAAAAAATCTAAAAAATATTTTGTCTCGGGATTTTGATGCAGAATGGTAGCAAATCGATCTAGAAATCGTTTTAGGTACTCCGCTTGAGAATCGGATGAGACTCCCCTATACCAAAGACCACAATCTTAAGAGTTTCAATGGATCAGAATGGGTGTCTTTAAGTCGTAACCCTTGAGCATAGCACTAGTTCTTGTTTTTGTTATAATATTGGCTCCGACTTGGGTAAACAAGATAACAACGGGGAGATACACAAACAAAAGAGTATTGGGGTGCACCTCCTAAGTGTTTAAGTATTTTCTGATTGGAAATCGCAACCAGATAGCGCCCCAAATATCGTGGCTAGTCCAAAGGCAGCCGATAAAGCTAATGACAAAGACGATTTCAAACCAAAGAGTTAACGAAAAACAAATAAAAAAGTCTCGAAACAAAACAAACCATCAAGAAATCAAAGAAATTTGTATTATGAACACACTCTTTCCCCTTCAAAACGTTTAGGTTGAAACTGGTTTATCTTAAATGGTGCAATTGGCCTATCTTTTACTTTCTTAAAAGTTTGTTAAATTTATTAATAATATTGATAGATTTGAGCTTTTTGTTTTATTTATATTTATATTTTTAATGCAGATTTAGATTTTTATTAGATTGTTTATTGTTATTAGAGATAGAAAGAATTATAATTGGGACATATAAAGAAAATCTTTCTATAAATACACAACATAATACACACATATAGAGTACAATAAAGAATACGATTAGAGAGGATTATAAAGAACAACCATATATACCGAATATATTACAGACCTTTTTTTTTAAACCTAAGTGTAATCCTAAACTAAATGCAAATATTTAATTTATATAATCACCATAATTTGATTTCGAACATCAAATATTTATGCTATTTTTTACTTTTCACTGTTTTTTCTATTATTTTTCTATACTATTATTTATATATGTATTTTTAACACAATTCTTATTAAAAAATTAAAATAATACATTTTATTAATGGTATAAATTCATTTAAAATTAAAATTAATTTTTGTTTTTTTTTATCTTTAATAAAAGAAATATAATTAATACGTATTCTCATTAACATTCTCATAAAAATATTTCTTTTTTATTTAGAAAAATGCTTAAACAATGAAAAATAAATTTTTGGAAAAATTCAATTTCAGAATTACAATTTTTTAGTGTCTTTTTTAATTTTAAAATTTTTAAAATTATTTTTATATTAAAAATTTTTTGATCTGAATATTACCTACTGTTTTTCTACTTATCCCCAGTATTTTCTCCAAGTGTACTGATTAGCAAGCCTCGATCAGTAGTCACCAAGATGTTATTAAAAAAAACACCATACTATGTAGCATTATACCATTATAGAAACCAAATGTAGTGATCTCAGCTAGATTTTTTTATTAAGCACCGATCCAATCCGAGAGTGTTATCTTGGGCAACGGCAGCCAGTAAATGGGGTGACTAAATCACGATTAACACATGTGAGAGTCACTCCCGGCAAACAGCAACCAGCTACCAGCTCCAAGCTCCAAGCTCCCAGCTCCGGCTCTTCATCCTGGGATGAGAGTGGGGGAGCGTGCTGCGTGCCACACCCTCGTTTCTTCTTTTTTGTTTTGATGGCGCCCGTAGCCGGCGAGAGAGTAACTAAAAAAAAATAAATAAAAAAAATGTAAAAAAAAAAGAGCAACAATGTCGCTGGCTGTTTATAAAATGCGCCGCAAAAACAACTCAAGTGGGGGGCTGGAGGCGGCGACAGAGGCGGCGATCACAACAAGATGCGAACGATGGGGGAGAAGAAGCCAGAAGACGAAGACGAAGACAAAAACAAAAACAGAGACAAAAAGACCGGCTTCTTGTTCAAAGCATTGCACATATCCGAAGCCCCAAAGCCCCCACAGCTGCGCAGCGACCCCCAGCCTTCCCCCAAAGAGAAGAGGGTGGAGCTAAAAGGGGGTTTAATTTTATATATTATTTCAAAATTTATTTTTTATAATTTAAATTATATTTCTTAAAAATTATTTTAAAAAACTTATATATTTTTATAAATTTTGAAATTATTTTCTTCCAAGTGCCCCCCTTTTTTTTAAGACTTTTCCCCCCACCCATGTCCCTGGCGCTGCGACTGCGTTTGAGCACTAACCATACAGCATATAGACAACCCATTTCATACAACGAAAATGGACGCGAAAATTTCTTGCGACAGGCCCCAGCAGGCCCCAGAGCGGATTTCTTACGCTCTCTTACGCTCATCGTTCGTTCATCTTACGCTCATTCTCGCAATAAATGTTTTCTGTTTCTCAGTCTCTAAACGGAGCGCGATGAAGAAGGTTGGCCTGCGCTTCGGTTGATCTTTGTATGTATGCGTGTCACACATTCACATACATGGGTGTATGTGTGCGTGCGATTTCGTTTCGAAGCCAGCGCACAAAATTTTGATTTTTCTTACTTTTAAGGCTTGCTACCCTAACAAAATTCGGGTATTCGTTATTTGATGAAATGACGAAAGAAATTATATTATTTTTTATTTTATTTTTTTTTATTATTTCAGCATACATTTTTAATTTATTTAGGAATAAGATTAAGTGTTAGTAGTAAAATGTTTTCTGTATATATATTTTTACGAATCATTAAAAATCAATATACTGAGAAAGTGTCAGAGTATATTTCGGTCGGAGTCACTTAAAGCGCCGATTGCTTTTAAGTTTTTGTTGTTCTGCAAGAGGCTTGTGCATGCCTACTCTAACGATGGAATGATTTTTAGGGGAGGGTGAAGACACGAAAACAGCTGATGGACTTGTTTACCTTTTTTGTTTACAATTTTTCAGGCACTTGTTATTATATTTTGGGTTATTGTGAGATTTAATTAAATTATTGTCGTTAATTTAATAATTTCCTTATATATATTTCCTTATATATAATAACTTTAAAAAGTAATTTAATTCTTCACCCGTCTTCACCCTCCCCTAAAAATCATTCCATCGTTAGAGTAGGCATGCACAAGCCTCTTGCAGAACAACAAAAACTTAAAAGCAATCGGCGCTTTAAGTGACTCCGACCGAAATATACTCTGACACTTTCTCAGTATATTGATTTTTAATGATTCGTAAAAATATATATACAGAAAACATTTTACTACTAACACTTAATCTTATTCCTAAATAAATTAAAAATGTATGCTGAAATAATAAAAAAATATAATATACAAAATAATATAATTTCTTTCGTCATTTCATCAAATAACGAATACCCGAATTTTGTTAGGGTAGCAAGCCTTAAAAGTAAGAAAAATCAAAATTTTGTGCGCTGGCTTCGAAACGAAATCGCACGCACACATACACCCATGTATGTGAATGTGTGACACGCATACATACAAAGATCAACCGAAGCGCAGGCCAACCTTCTTCATCGCGCTCCGTTTAGAGACTGAGAAACAGAAAACATTTAATGCGAGAATGAGCGTAAGATGAACGAACGATGAGCGTAAGAGAGCGTAAGAAATCCGCTCTGGGGCCTGCTGGGGCCTGTAGCAAGAAATTTTCGCGTCCATTTTCGTTGTATGAAATGGGTTGTCTATATGCTGTATGGTTAGTGGTTTGAGCCACTGCCTCTGCCAACGTTAACGGCAACAGCGGCGCCGGCGTTGTGCGTTGCGTTTAAAATGCCGCAGCAGCAGCGCAGCGAACTCAGTCTAGCCGCTAAAGTCCAGCAGTCCAGTTTCGGATACAGATACACCGATTCCAAAATCCAGATTGAGATTCAGATTCGATTTTGAGTTTCAGTTTTCAGTTCCAGTTCCAACATCCAGTTTTCCAGTCGAATAGCTAGAGGACCAGGATCGGGATTTAATTTAAAAAAAATATATTAAAAAAAAAGCACAAAGCTAGTCAAAATGTCGCAGCCATTAAAGTTCTACTTTGATTTCCTCAACCAATCCAGTCGAGCTCTGTATATCCTTCTGGAGGCATCCAAAATTCCCTTCGAAGCGATACCCATATCCATGCTCAAAGGTGAGTACGTGCTAGCGGGCACGCATAACCCAAAAGATTTCCAAATCCGAAAAATCCGAAAAAAAACCAAAAAATCCAAAATACAAAAACAAAGGTCGACCCTTACACACACTCTTACATGGCACTTGTAGTGTCACCAGCACACATTTCTATGCATTTATGCTTTGCCCTTTGTTTTTGTTGTTGTTTTTTTGTTTTCTTGAGGGGGGGACCCCAGACCCAAGGCCCCAGACCCCAGACCCAGGGAAGTTTCCAAATAAATTTTCCGTTCGTTAAAAATTCCACTGGCCGCCAAGCCAAAAAGTTTCCAAAAGGGGAAAGTCTGGACTTCGTAGCCACTGATATGGATTGCAAGTTCAAAAAATATTAAATTAATTAAAAATATTTATTTTCGAAACCCCCCCTAGAAATAATAGCAAACAATAGAATTAATTTTTCTGATAATGCAGATTATTAGGTTTACATACGAAAGGAATTTTGCGAACGTGACTTTGCCCGATAGAGTTCTCGAGCTATACTATATCTATATCTATACTATATGGTATAATAATAAATAGCACTTGCTCCTCGCAAGACTTGTGTATCTTGTAGAATGATCAGGCATTAATGATCTGCACTTTGTACGTGTTTACCAAAAAAACGTTTCGATTGGAGGAGGCTTTTATCACCTGCTGGTGCTGGTCAAGCTACACTGAAAAGAAAGTATAGTGCACTTTGAGAACCAAAAACCTATCAACGATCTTTGCGCTGTTCTGTTCTAAGTGTTTGTGTTTTTTTTTTATCACCTGCTCGTTAAACTAGGCCACACTTTTAAAAATACATTATCAATTTTTTAGATTTTTTTACTCTAAAAAGAGAGAGTATATAGATTTTATTAAGAAAGTTGGTGGAGATAGGACTGAGAATTAATAATAATAGTAAAGTAAAGAGGTTCGAACCTTAGACTTTAATCTTAAAAATATTATTATTCTCTGAGTTACTTATCTTTCTCCTTGAAAAGTGCATTGACTAGTCGCCTATCTTGTAGATATTTTCCCTTTCTTTTTTTTAGTGATTTGTTTACCTGCTTATTTTTTTCCTTATTATTAGCTGTTTGCAGTTTATTTTTCTCATATCTTTTGTTGATTTGTCAGTTTGTTTACCAAGCTGCGCGTGCGCTTAGCACTTTTTTCAAAAAAAAAATCAGAAAAAGAAGAAGGAGAACAGGGTCTTCTTTGTTTAAGCCACTTGGTCAAGGTTGCAACCATAAAGTGTAGAATTGATGGAAGGATACTAAGATGCAAGATCCAGATGCAACGCCTTCATTAGCCATTAATATCCGCATATTTTTTAATGCAAATTTCAAGGTATCTCCTTTCAGATACAATATCTTGTATCTTGTAGATAGTAAAGACGTTTATTTATTTTTTTTCAAAAAACTATCCATCTTTGGACTTTGCACTCCAGCACCGGAGAGCGGAAACTTGAATAAAGAGAGAAATCTCAGAAAAGCTTAGAAAATCAAGTCAGCCGACTGCATTCGAGTGGAGACAACCTTGTGGAGGTTAAAGACTTCGATCCGAGGTTGTTGTTGTTATGTTTCTGTTTTCTGTTTTTGTTTTTTTTTTTGTATTTCTGTGTCTGTGTCTTTCATGCCACACAAGCATGACGCAAGGAATCTAATCTGGCCAAGACTTTACGAGCCAAACTGCAATTGGGATCAAGTGGGAATCGAGTGGTTCGAGCTGTTCAATTGGCCATAAACAATTTCTTGGCGCTTTAACTGATATTTCTTAACCCAATTTTAGTATGCACTTTTTATAATTATACATAGAGTTGTCTTCAAGCGATTTGTTGTGGGCTTAATGGTCTGTTAGTTGAGGTATTAGAGGTTATTGGAGGTCGATATGGTCTTATATTAGTAGTTTTTCTTCAAGATAATGTATATTATCTATTAGTCTATAATATATCACTTGATTTATTAATAATACTACAAATATAGAGCTAGGTCTAGATATGATAGAAATATGTATATGGATTTTAAAAATGGTATGATGCCAGGTTCTTTTCATTCCCTTTATGTCAAATTAATCCCTATAAAGGCTGGTAAGCAAATCACCACATTTTGAGATAGAAATATAATATATAAAATTATATAAGATAGACTATATGATACCCGGTACTTTTTCCAAAAATAAATAATTCTCCAAAGTATAAAAAATAGTAAGTTAGTCTACTAATAATTTGAAAACTAAAGGCAGACTGTATAATACTCGGTACTTTCCTTTACCCCGTAAATAACACCCAAAGTTAGATTGTAAAAATCCTATAATACCCGGTACTATTCCAGACATTCCCATACCTCCCAATCTCCCAATTTTCAAAAAACAACTAGTTAGTCTACTAAATAAAATTATATTTTAAAAAGATATGATACCCGGTACTTATCTCTTTCTTTTCTAACATTTATTCCTTTAAAGGTTTATATTAAATCGTAAAAGTATCATAAATAAACTAAAATAAGCCAGACTATATGACACCCAGTACTTTTCCCGGCATTCCTCAAGTAACCAGGCTATCAGATACCTGGTACTGGAAAGCCCAGCCCTATACCACGACTAACTAATCCCCCAACTAATAACACCTCATGGCACTAGCCCATGATCGCTTCTGTCAATCACGAATCTCCCACGAGTTGCCCTTTGGCTGGACCACACCAGTCACTAATCAATCATGATTCTCAGATTCAGTTTCCATACTTTTCCAAATGGCAGAGGCAGTCGACGGCGGCAATTATAAAATTTGAAATGAAATTGAAAAATTACCGCCACCAACCTGAGAGAGTCGCCTGTCCGGACATTCAAATCTAATCAGAGATGATTGTAGACTGGAATCGCGGCTTGCCACTGGAACTGGCTGACTAATCAATTAGGTTTCCATGAAATTTTCATTTAATTTCTTTGTTATTCCACTTGCACTCCACACCACCCCAATAATCATAAAGGGATGGCGATGGCGGGCAGCTATTTAATTTGTTTTTTTGTTTTCCACATCCAGATTGTGGTGATTATTTTTAGAGAATCCCCGACAAAAAGCCTAACAAGTGCACGGGTTTTGGTTCCAACTCTCTGGGTTTCCATATGGCAAGCGAATCCAATCACCCAACCACCCACTGTCCCCTTTTATTTAATGACCTTGATACCGAAACCCGCACTGACATTGACAATGACTTTGGCTTTCACACTTCACACCAGACACGCCCCCCTTTTGAGGGCAATAATTCTTTCGTATTCCGGTATCGTTATCTATAATTGCCGAAAATTTCGACTCGAAATCAAAACAAAATAATAATAACCTGTTGCCGTGTGAGAGTATCTGGTTTGGGGATCAGGCCATCCACCGATCGGATGATGATTGTAGTGGCACTATAATTGGGGAATATATAATATTTATAAATCTATTTTGTTTACAAATCTTAACAAAAAGTGCTATACAAATTGAACCTTTTTTTGAGTTGGGATGATGGAGCTCTTCTTTCATTCTTTTGATATTTTTTAAGAAATATATAAAGATAATAAAAAAAGAAAGATGTATTGTATTTTAATAAGAAAGATATGGTAGTTTAAGGTATTTAAAAATTTATAATTCCTGTTATAAACCCTTTATGACTAGTTCTTTACAAAAAGATTATACATTTTAGGGTTGATATAAGAAGAGTACCGGTTATCAATGGCCTTTTCTTTCTTTATTTCGATAATCTTTAACAATAAACTTTTAAATATTCTTATTTATTATAAAGGTATCCTTTTTTATGTCCTATACTACCTAGAAACTTATGTTTTCTTGTATTTTTCCTTCTTTAAAGACTTCTTTGACTATATCTTTACAAACAGGTCTAAAAACACAGTCCCGTATTGGGGTTAGGATAAGAAAAGTACCGGGTATCATAGAGCTTTTCTTCCTGACTCTCCATACTACTTAAAAAATTAATGAATACATATACAAATATACATATATGCCTATGTCTATTCTATTCTCTATTATATTTATATTCCCAAGAACTTAATGCAAAGATCTTAAGAAATTAGACCAGATTATACTAAATATTACCATACCTCCTGTAAAAAATAGTATTTAAAATACTACCCCACTTTAAAGAACCAAGAATTATCGACTAGAAAGAGCTATACAATGGTAATAAATAATAAGTAAACACAATTAGGAATTAGAGACTCAAGAGACAGGTTTTTAATCATATACCCCCCACCTGGCCCCCTAATTGAAACCATTCCCATTCCAGGCGAACACCTGACGGGAGAGTTCCGGGACAAGGTGAACCGGTTCCGTAAGTTGCCGGCCATCACGGATCACGGCTATCAGTTGTCCGAGAACTCGGCCATTTTCCGGCATCTGTCCAGGGAGAAGCTGGTGCCGGAGCACTGGTATCCCAGGCGTCATCTGGGACGTAGTCGGATCGACGAATACCTGGCCTGGCAGCAGAGCAACATGGGTGTGGCCACCACAGAGTACTTCCAGCAGAAGTGGCTCGTACCATATCTCCAGAAGACTCGCCCCTCCGATAATGCGGTAGTGATGGTTTTTAATATTTAAAGTCTTTAATTTATATTAATTTTAATTTTAAATTTTAAGGTGAATGTGGCTGGAAAGCAACTGGAGCATACCCTCAACGAATTCGAGCAGCTTTTCCTCAACTCCCGCAAGTTCATGCTGGGTGATAATATATCCTTTGCGGATCTCAGTGCCATTTGTGAAATAGATCAGCCCAGTTAGTTAATCCTCTAAAAAAAAAAAAGAAAGAATTATAAAGAATACTATTACTAATCGGTTATTTACTTTTTTTTAGAATCCATCGGCTATAATGCCTTCCAGAACCGCAACAAGCTGGCCCGCTGGTACGAAGCGGTGCGCGAGGAGCTGGGACCCCACTACAAGGAGGTACTCGGGGAGTTCGAGTCCAAGCTGAAGAGGAGCGGCAGTGGTCAGGGCGTGGCCCAGGCGGTGAAACAATAGCCCCGGGCTACTACCACTCACCTCCAGGCCCGTCCACCAATTTTTAGTTTAGTTCCCTAAGATCGATTGACTTATAAACCCATTTATATATATTTTTTTTTGTGATCTTTTGCTCATTTTGGATAACTCTCCCATAACACTCCCTAATATTCTATATATTTTTTTTTTACTTTCTGTAATTGAGCGAAGAAATCTATATTATTTTTACAAATTATTATATGTATTCTTATATACTTAGTGACTTAGTTGTTAACGATGTATCCTAATATTACGTATATTAAATACGCTTATGATTGTTAAACCAACAGATAGTTTTAATTTTTTCTTTTATTTTATAATTTACATTAACGCTTTATTTATTTCTCTTAGGGGCGTGTCTTCTTTAAGGAGTGTATGAGGTGTACAAAATAGGATTATCCTGGTCTCAATATCACAATTAAATAATTTTTATTCACAGATACTAGAGAAGAAAACTAAAAAAAAACTCCAAATATTTTAAAAGTGTGGGGTTGGGGGAGGTAAACTAGCTCATTTCATTGTGGAATCGGGAAAAGCATCACGTGGTGGCTTAAAGCTGAGCATCATTATGTGACGGGCATAGGATTTGGTGGCCCGGAATAGGGAATCAGTGCCATGAAGGCGATCCAAAACGCCCAGGACTCCAAAACAGTTGTTGAATCTGAAAGGGGAAATAGATGATAGTGTGAGATATATTATAAAGATTTTTAAGAGGAAATCCAACCCAAAAAACCTACTTCAAATGATGAAAATCATGAGCCTCGGGACTGGGAAAGAATGGCAGATGGTAGCCCGAGTGGGCATTCAGTGTGGATAGAATGGCCAGAGCAAACCATAGCCAAGCGGTGGCCACATGACTGCCCATCAGAAAGACACCCATGAAGGGCGGCAGCAGATTACTGAAGATGTGCTCGATGGGATGACAATAGATCGCCGTCACCGAAATGGGAGCCGTCCACTCGTGATGCTGCTTGTGGATGTACTTGTAGATGTGCTTGTGATGCAGCAGGCGATGGGAGTAGTAGAAGCCCAGCTCCTCCATTAGGATGCAGACGGTCAGCTCGAAGCAGACCCAGTGGAATGTGGGCAGGTCCCGAATGTCGCTCAGGCCGCGGATCTCCATCAGTCGGTAGCTGGCATAGGCGAGAGGCAGGCCCACAAAAATCTGATTGCAAACCACACACCAAATTACCTAAAAAATCAAGACATAAAGGTCAATTAAGAGGTCAAATCAGAGTCAGTTATGATACCAGTAATACCTTTAGAAGGCGTCGCACTTCAACGGGTTCATTGGTTCCCGGTTGGATTTTGTATTTTCGCAGACAGGCCGGCCTGTTGGTCAGATCCATGAAAGTGTAGAGGGTCCCAACGCTCCAGTAGACTATCATTGTGAAGATGGTGGTCCCAAAAACCCACAGAACCATGGGTTCATCACCTATAAAGAAACGAGAAATGGGTTGAGAAAGAAAACTATAGGAATTTGTGAGGGAATTGGGTACATTTTGAAAAAAAATAAATAGTTATAGATGGAATCTAACTAACGCGCGGACAGAGGGATAAGTAAGCTTGATTTTCGTCACAAAAGTCAGCTTCTGTCGTTGTAGGAATCAAGTAATTAATGGAAGTATATTGAAAAAGTAAATTAAAATTCTTAGACAAGAAATTATTTAATTTTTTAAAAGCTATATAGGCACAAACGGACATACGGACAGTTTAAAAAAAGACTTTCGTCACAAAATTTAGCTTTGATTTTTGAAAACTTGACTTTCGTCACAAAATTCAGCTTCTGTTTTTGTAAAAATCAAATAATTCATAGAACTAGGTTGAACAATAGAGAAATTAGTCAAGAAATGAGTTATATTTTGAGATGGAATATAACGGACACGCGGACAAAATGAAATAAAAACGTGACTTTCGTCACAAAATTCAGACTAATTCTTAAAGTAGTCTCTGAAAAGTAGAAAAGTAAGACAGGATTTTTTTTTTAATTTTTAAAAAGCTCTCTATAGCAATAGATAAAATCTAACAAACAAACGGACTCGCGGACAGACGGACAAGTAAACGTGATTTTCGTCACAAAACTCATATCTATGGGGCTTATAAAAAGATAATAAAAATCGAATTAAAGTGCTATGAAACTCACACCATAAATTCTTTTTAAAAAAAACTAGTATTTTTATAAGATTCAACTCTTGACTTTAAAATCCCAAAAGGTCTATCAAGTTCATCTCTTAAAACAAACAACGAAAACTTGTATAATTGTATTAACCAAGTAAATATTTACTTAAAACTATAGTTTTCTCCTATTTATTTACTTAATTTTGAATTTATAGTGTTAAATGAGTAAGCGCGGCGATTCATTCGAGGTAATTGGCAGCACTGGGGACAGCACTCTTTATTTTTCCATTTGCATCTTTGTATCTTTGTATCTGTGGAATGGGTATCTTTGTGTTGGTATCTGCCTGAGCGGCAGTGAATTAGTAAACAAAACAGTTGTTGTTGACAATTTATCTTTGTTTTCTTTTTTTTTTTTTGGGATGGGTGGGGGGCATTGCAATTTTCACAATATATGTACTTGCATTAGTACAAAGAGAGGAGCAAAGTTTAGTAACCCTTTTTTTTCTGTTTCATAATGCATTTATTAAGTAGCTTAGCTTAGTTTAGTTTATGGATTTTTTGTTTACTTACCGAATGAGTCGATGAACTTGTCCCATTGTGCCTGCCAAAAGTCACCGGAGGCGCCCCAAAAGCTCTGCAAGTGCCTGGCATATAAACAAGAAATCTCCATCAATTTATCCTCCATGGCTTTGGCTTTGGGTTGGGTTGGGTTTTGGGTTCTAAATTCTTAAGCTTTCTTCTCTCGATTCCCTGTTCCCTGTTCTTTTTCAGCGATTCGTCTTCGCCGATGAGCGTCGCTAACGCAACTGGCGAATTTTGATCGCAGATTTTCGGATCGCAGCTCAAAAAAAGCAAAAAAATAAAAAACAAAAATAAAAATAAACAAAGCTCAGAGTCCGGCTCGAGTCCAGAACTTGGTCTCTCTCAATGGCACGGAAGAGAGAGAGAAAGTGCAAAAGACTGTCTTCAAAGGCCGAAGCTTGTAATACCCAACCTACCGATATTTCTACTGAATATAATCATGTTCTTGAGAAGAAATAGTGTTCTATAAAATATATATGGAATAATGAATATATATATATATATGTATATATAGAATAAATAGAATATATAGTAAGAGAATGTGTAGAAGACTGTCTTCGAAGAATCTTATAATACTGTTTTTCTACTATTTTTATTTTCTCATCTTTATAGTGGGCGGATACATGTACCTTATGCCTTAGAAAATAATATTCTGTGTAGGAAGATAAGAATAGAAGACTGTCTTTGTAAACTGAAGCTTGTAATACTTTTTTTCTATTTTGAAATACTGAGATATCACTATCACTATACTATAGTCTATGTAGAAGACTGTCTTTGAAACTGAAGCTTGTCCTTCCCTTTCTGATCTTTGAGAAATAATGGCTTCTCATAGAGAAGATCGTATTTATTTTATTAAGAAAACTGTATTCTATAAAAATATATTATAAACTGTTTTTAGATATTTTTTTTTTAAATATTACAAGCGAAAAATTTTTAACTAATTTCTTTTCTTTTCTCTTACAGTTTTGCCTTAAAAGGATGAAATAAAAGAATAATCAAGATTTAAAATGAAGAACTATTTACTTAATTAAGGTAAGTGAAAACATAGAAAAGGTCTTATTGGATTATTATTTAAAAATTATAAGAATTTAAGGACGACATTAAACGAATTTTATGACAATATATTATTTAAATAATTTGAATTGAAATAATAACTATAATATTCAAGTAATACTATCAGAAGTTGCCTAGGGTTTATAAGAATTCAAAATACATAGTATTTAAAGAACTCATAATATTTTAATAAAATAAAATTAAAAGAATTTAAAGGAAACAAGGACAGGAAACACTGATCAAGAACCTTCCTTGAAAATCAGACTACTTTCTAAAACGGACTCTAGCTTTTAAGGACTTCAACTTCCTAAGACTACTTCCTAGACTTCCTAGACCACTTGCTAAAGTAGAGTACTACCCTCTGTTAGGGAATAAAAAAAAAAAGAGAATCTCTGGAAGAGAAGAGAACTATAGCCAGCCAGTATAATCATAATCACCAGGTGAGCACGTTGCGAAACAGAATAAAGGCGGCCAGGGCGCAAGTGATAATGAAGATGACGCTGTGGAGCGATGAGAGCCAGACATCAGCGGTACGGGCATCGTCCCAGTGCTGCAGGGGTGAGCAGGAGGATTGCGACTGGCTCTGATCCTTACCAGAGTGCTATATAGAATGATCAGCTTAGGATCTGCTTGAAAATAGAGTATTTCCATAACTTACATCATTAAGATTTAAATAAACTGGCGGTAATCCGGTTCTGTCCTTTGACATGACCCCTCCTGAGGTGCAGGAGGAGCTAGATGATGTCGATGTGGCATTGGATCCATTTCCAGCCGGTTGTACTGTTACAGAAACAGGTGATGAACAGGACGATGAGACTGAGTTGGATGACAAAGATCCCAAGTTGTTGTTTGGAGGTCTTACGTGTGTGGGGTTCGACATAGCGGCTTTCTAAAATTTCTAAATTTTATTAAATATATATATCTTCTTTTTTAATATTAATTATTTTCCGATTTAAAGCTTTTTTGTCGCAACTCTCGTAGTTCTTCAAATCGACTGAATGTTGTGGCTCGACGCTCCCGTGTCCTTGACATTTAGGCCACTTCGATTTTTCTATTTTCGAGCTCCGGCTTATTGAGGGATTCGATGTGTGTGCGTCCTGTGTCCTTTGTTGTTATTTGAGTTTCCCCAATTTTCCCAATCGTAGCAGTCTATGAACTATTTATCAAATCGGTTGACAGACCGGTCTCTATTGTTAACTCTGCGACAACATAAAAGTTACAACCAAAAACTAAACAGGTCCCTAAAAAGTCGATTTCCTTTAAAAAAAAACAAACTTCTTCCTTTACGGTTTCGGTGGAAAGCTAACAAACACATACGCGTATGCGGCGACCACAGTGTTACCAATAGAGAGTAGTTCCATTACCGTTAAAAGGCGCCAAAGAAATAACGGTGAAATAGTGGTAAGTGTTGGGTTTGTGAAGGGGAATAGTGAAGTGAAATATGAAAGTGATGAAATATTTATGGAGATACATAATAAGAGGTTTTTTAAGTAAATTTTTAGAATTGAAAGCATAATTATTATTTTTTTTTTTTTCAATATGTTAAGAGATAAGTGTTGTACTATTTATGGAGATACATATATGGCGGATCTTTAGTCCATTTTTTAAGAAAAACATCTTTATTAATGCTTTTTTTAAAGAAATATTTTGTTTGTTTGTTGGGAATTGGAATAGTGCCATAAAATTTATAGAGATACATGATTGGTGGTTCGTGAGTTCCTTATATTAGTTATTAAAATAAGGAAAAGCATCATTTATTTTGGATTTTTCCCTTTTTTTGAGTTTCTTAAATGAGAAAAGGATTACAATATTTAACCAGATAAATAATAAAGTAGTTTTGGTTTTAGAATTTATGTTTTATAAAATAAAGGCCAAATTATTTATGATTTTCGTCCCAATTTTTCTAGAAAAACTTCTAGTAAAAGTAGTTCTAAAAGAAATTCTGGTACAATAGACAAAGCTTAAAAAGTTTCTCATTATTTCATTTTTTATTATATTTCTTCTCCGTTTATCATGATATTAAAAAAAAATAATAGTTTAAAGTTTCTAATCAGTGTCATCACTATTAAAAACCGTTATAGTCTCTCAGTGTCATCTCTAAAATTTTCCCGCTGATTTGCGTTAGTGTGACCATATACACGGGCCGTACGAGGGTGGCACTGCACCGATCTGGCAGCATCGTCATGTGTATAAACAACAAAATCCGTGGAGATTTAAGAGAAAAACGATAAAAACGAAAATACATGAAGATGAACGAGTGTGTGTGCCCCCCGGCATCGTTGGTGGTGTTCATGTGACAATAGCCCCCCCTCCCCACAGTGCCGTGACAGTGGCGGACAAAAGTCCTAACTGTAACTTCGTTTTGAAGAAAATGTTCCGTTCTGATTTTCAATGGGAGAGGAAAAAAAACTGAAAAGGCCCACCAATTGACAGACAGTTCCATCCCCCGCCGTAAATGAATCGATTTTCAGTGACACTAATTGACCTAAAATTTTTGGTTTTTAGTTAGGGTCAACGGTAGCAATGGAGGAATCCGGCGCGGGTGGAGGCTCAACTACAGCGGCGGCCCGCTCTTCAGCGACAGCCAGCGGTGGCGTTGCATCACGTGGCCGTGGTCGGGGGCGACCGCCCAAGATACCACCCCCAACAGCTGGCCGTCAGCCTGCCAGCCCAGTTTCAGCATCGAATAGAGCCACCACCCCCGCATCCCCATCCCCATCACCATCCCCGTCCGTTACGTCGCCCCCCTCGCCGTCGTCGCTGGAGGACGGAGACTCGACCTGCCGGCGCAGCTCCCGAAAGAAGGTCATCAAGTTCGATGTCCGCGATCTGTTGAATAAAAACCGCAAGGCGCACAAAATCCAAATCGAAGCCCGTATTGATTCTAATTCCAGCTGCCCCACAAATCCCATAGCCAGCCCATCGGGTGCAGCTCCGCCGGTGAACCGAGTGTTCTCCATGTTTGAGAGCAACAAGCTGATGCCACCCAAGCCGCCGCCCACTGCCCTGGGGATGTTCGCCAAGCCCCGGCCCACCCAAAGCCTGATCGTGGCCCAGGTGACCAGCGAGCCCAGCTCCACTGCCGCCACCGTCGTGCCGACCGCACCGGTGGTTCGAAAGCGCGGGCGTCCCCGAAAGATTAGACCCGCGGAGCAGCAGCAGGCTCCGCTTCCCATGACATCCGACTCGGACACCACAACCTCCACGGGCAGTGGAGGCGACAGTGGTGACCTGATCGCCGCCGCCGCCCTCGATCCCGCCAAGCGAAAGCTGCGCGTCTCCCTCAAGCGGCTGAATTTGTCCCGCCGACTGGAGTCCACCGATTCCGGCGAGATGCCCCTCAGCATTCGGCTGCTGGGAGCCGGAGGCAACTCCTCCTCCTCCTCGCCATCCACGCTGTCGCTGTCGGCGCCCATAATCCAGGACGAGAACGCCCTCGACGAGCAACCGAAGCCACTGCCAAAGGAACCCGTAACTTCCGTCATTTCCGTTCCGGACGAGAACACCGACTCCGACTCCCAGATCATATTCATCGAGATCGAGACGGCGGGCAAGGAGGAGGACACTGCCAACCAGGAAGCAAGCGCCAGCGACATCCAGGTGCTGCTGCCCGAGTCCGGAGCCGATCAGGACTCCGATGACATAATGGTGGAGGTGCTTAGTGGCCCACCGAGTTTGTGGTCGGCCGACGACGAGGCCGAGGAGGAGGATGAGGTGGCCCCCAGATCCGTGACCGAGCCCGTGGATCCGGAGACCGAGTCCTTGTCGGTAGCACCGCGCCGCAGTCGCCGATCCCAGCGCGGCAACAGCAACAGCCACCAAGGTAAGACTCTGGAGGAGACCTTTGCGGAGATAGCGGCCGAGAGCAGCAAGCAGATCCTGGAGAAGGAGCAGGACCAGGAGCAGGAGGAGCATCTGTTAATCGATCTCATTGAGGATAGCCAGAGTCAGCCGGGAGCCAGTGCCGATACGGCGTTGGGAGGGGCTCTGGAAGTGAAACTGGAACCGACTCTGCCCGAGGATAAGGAGGATCCTCCCGAGGAAACATTGGAAATTGTGGTTAGGCTGAAGAAGTACAAGCCCACGACTCCAGAAATGATGAAGGAGGTGGAGAATGAGACGGAGACGGAGACGGAAACGAAAAAGCTGGACAAGCCATCGGAAGAACCACATGCCGCGAGCACCGCAGCTGAAGAAACAAAGCCCATGACCGAGGCGGTCGAAGTGAAGGCGGAGACTAGCGAGACATCTCCCGATGGGCCCGACGCCACCAAGCAGCCGGCCACTCGGGATCGAATCATCAAATCGGAATCTATAGGAGTTGTAGATGACACCACGAGCCGACTGGAGGCCGACAGAACTAAACAAACCGATGGCGCCAAGGTGGCTCAAATGACTCCCGTGGCTCCCGGGCCATCCGACACCGTGGGGAGTACTGCGGAAGGGCCACTCGGCGATCAGGTTGCAGTGGCGATCTCCGAGAAGTCACCAGAGAAGGTGGAGGCTAAAACGGTGGAGGCGGCGGAGGTGGTGGACAGTACTGAGGTGGAGGTGGAAAGCAAACCGAAGACTGATGCAATCACTTTGAAGACTGAGCCGGCCAAGAGCGAAGAGAAGTCGCCGGCGGAATCAGAATCGGAGCCAGAGAAGCCAAAAGCCCTGCCCCAGAAGACTACCAGAATGCCACTGGAACGGAGGAAATCTTTCCCGAAATCCTCCAGCACCGAGGAGAGTCAACCAGGCAAGTCCATCAAAAGGGAGAAGGTGGAGAAGAAGGACAAGGATGCGACCAGGAAGGAAAAGCCCAAAGACCGGTCTCGAAAGAATTCGGTTTCCAAAAAGGACTCCGATTCGGAGAAGAGTCTTCCGGAACGGAAGTCACCTACGGAAGCGACTTCCTCCAAAAAAGAAGCAGATCCCCCAGAGGAGAACTCGAAAAAGTCCAAGTTCGTGGAGAGCGATGCCATGTTCAAGGCCATGGACAAGGCCAAGGCCCAGGTGCGTCAGAAGAAGCTGAAGAAAGCAGTCCCAGTCACAGTCCCAGCGCCACGGCAGCCGCAGCCCAAGGTGGGCAAGGCATTCTCCGCAGCCACGACTCCTGCCCAGCCAAAGAAAACGCAGATCAAGATCTTGGCCAAGCTCCGGAGGAATACCATGTTTGCGGAGGGCGATGCTCTGTGGAGCGCCATGGCGAAGCGGAGGGAGGGGAACAGCTCGCCTGGGGACTCCGACTCCAGCTGGGTGGCCGCGCCCAAACCGAAGAAGACCCGGGCCAAGAAGAAGGCACTGTACTCGCGTCGCAGCACGATCTCAGAGGAGGCCAAGCACCTCGGCGCCTCCAAGGCCATTCCCATTGTGGATCTAACGGGCGGATCGTCGCCCATCTCCACGTCCTCGGACGCCAGCTCGAAGAAGGCCCGCTCCAAGCGCTCCACCCCGGAACTGATCCGGGCCACGGCCCTCAGCAAGCTGGAGCAGCGCCGGAACACCATTTGCGAGGACCGTCATCCGGTGGCCAAGTCCAAGGCGGCCTTGGTGCCGATCACCAAGCGTCGCTACTCGGTGCATCCCAAGGCCACGGCCCCGCCGCCACAGCCCGAGGAGGCGAGCAAGCCGGCGCCCAAGAAGAGGGGCCGGAAGCCGGGGAAGGCCGCCATGAGTCGCCAGAGCTCGATGGACTCCAGTTCGAGTGCCTCGCTAGCCAGCGGAGCCACTGCCACGAAGAGGAAGGCCCAGAAGTCGACAGAGGCCCTCCATGCGGCTCTCACCGAGACCGAGTCCTCGGAGTCCACGTCCTCCGGCAGCAAGATGCGGCGCAGCAATGTCCAGATCTCCCCCGAGCTGGAGGCACCCGATCCCCTGAAGGACATTGCCAAGTTCATCGAGGATGGCGTAAATCTCCTCAAGCGGGACTACAAGCTGGAAGAGGAGCAGAAGGCGGAGCAGCCGGGTGAGGCAACTAAGGTGGAGCCACCCGCCCAGGACAGTCAGGAGGATGAGTTTGCCCAGCGGGTGGCGAACATAGAGACGCCAGCGACGACGCCGTCACCCTCGCCCACCGAGGAGTCGTCGAATGCTTCGGGCACGCAGTCCCAGGAGGGCAATGGTGGGGTGCGGCGCTCCCATCGCATCAAGAAGAAGCCGCAAGGATTCAAAGCGGGCCAGGCCCGAGGCGTGACCAGCACCAGCACCGCCCTGACGCCACTCAGCATGGACGAGCAGCTGACCGAGCTGGCGAACATCGAGGCCATCAACGAGCAGTTCCTCCGGAGCGAGGGTCTCAACACATTCCAGCCGCTGAGGGAGAACTACTACCGCTGTGCCCGTCAGGTGAGTTCAAGGATTAGCTCTTCCCTCCAAGCTTCCTAACCATCTCTTGATAATCCCTTCCAGGTAAGTCAAGAGAATGCTGAGATGCAGTGCGACTGCTTCCTCACCGGTGACGAGGATGCCCAGGGGCATCTCTGTTGCGGTTCCGGCTGCATCAACCGCATGTTGATGATCGAGTGCGGACCGCTGTGCTCCAACGGGGATCGCTGCACCAACAAGCGCTTCCAGCAGCACCAGTGCTGGCCGTGCCGCGTCTTCCGCACCGAGAAGAAGGGTTGCGGCATCACGGCCGAGCTGCAAATCCCACCCGGAGAGTTCATCATGGAGTACGTGGGTGAGGTGATCGATAGCGAGGAGTTCGAGAGGCGCCAGCACCTGTACTCCCGCGACCGGAAGCGACACTACTACTTCATGGCGCTGCGCGGCGAGGCCATCATCGATGCCACCTCCAAGGGCAACATTTCGCGGTACATCAACCACAGCTGCGATCCGAACGCCGAGACCCAGAAGTGGACGGTGAACGGGGAGCTGCGCATCGGATTCTTCAGCGTGAAGACCATCCAGCCGGGCGAGGAGATCACCTTCGATTACCAGTACCAGCGATACGGCAGGGATGCCCAGAGGTGCTACTGCGAGGCGGCCAACTGCCGGGGATGGATCGGCGGCGAGCCGGACTCGGATGAGGGCGAGCAGCTGGACGTGAGCAGCGAGAGCGACGTCGAGGAGGAGGAGGAGATCGAGACGGATGTGACGGCCGATGTGGAGACCAAGGCGCCCAAGGTCAAGGCCAAGGGAGCCAAGGTCAAGGGCAAGCAGGCCACCGCCAAGCCCGGCAAGCGCAAGGAACAGCCCAAGGCCAAGGATCGCGAATACAAGGCCGGTCGCTGGCTGAAACCCAGCGGTGGAGCTGGTGCGTCCGGTTCGGGCGAGAAGGTTGCCCGCGCCAAGCCCAAGGTCAGCAAGTTCCATGCCATGCTGGAGGATCCGGATGTCGTGGAGGAGCTCACCCGACTCAGCCGCAGCGGCCTGAAGAACCAGCTGGACACGTTGCGATTCTCGCGGTGCATGGTTCGCGCCAAGCTGCTCCAGACGCGGCTCCAGCTGCTGGGCGTGCTCACACGTGGCGAGCTGCCCTGCCGGCGACTCTTCCTCGACTACCATGGCCTCCGGCTGCTCCACGCCTGGATCAGCGAGAGCGGCAGCGACAGCCAGCTGCGAATGGCCCTGCTGGAGGCACTGGAATCACTGCCCATTCCCAACCGTACCATGCTCAACGACAGCAAGATCTACCAGAGTGTCCAGCTGTGGAGCAACAGCCTGGGAGAACCTCAAGATGGGGCTGAAGGAGATGCCTCGCAGTCTGCACTGCGCCCACGGATGGCGGCTCTGCTGAAGAAGTGGCAGGCCCTGCCGGAGATATTCCGCATCCCGAAGCGGGAGCGCATCGAACAGATGAAGGAACACGAACGGGAGGCCGATCGCCCGCCGGAGCCGCGATTCCACTCCAGCACCGGCCTCGAGGATCTGCGCGAGCGCGACGATGGCAGCTCCTCCGATCCCTATCGTCAGGATCGGTTCCGCGGTCAGCGGGACATCACCAACAACCGGAACAACAACAAGCCGACTCGGATGAGCGGCAACAACACCATATGCACCATTACCACCCAACAGAAGGGCAACAACAACAACGGCACCATGGAGGGCATAAACCGGATGGACAACCGGCGCCGATCCGACATCGGACCCACTCTGGGTGGCGAGGCCCGGCGTGCCCCGCTCTCCAAGGAACTGCGCCGTAGCCTCTTCGAGAGGAAGGTGAGTATTGTTAGAGCAGCAGCCGGAGGAGGAGGAGTGCCTGCAGTGCCTTCACTAACAACCTCCGTAAAACCCACACCCCAGGTGGCTCTGGACGAGGCGGAGAAGCGCGTCTGCAGCGAAGACTGGCGCGAGCACGAGGCACGCTGCGACTTCTTCGGTGCAGACCTGAGCACGGACCCCAAGATGCTGCCGTTCTACCAGAACACCGAGACCGGAGAATGGTTCAATTCCGAGGACATGCCCTTGCCGCCGCCCCAGCGGACAGATGCCCAGGCCCAGGCCATGCTCTCTCCCGAGTCGGACGGTGGACCATCCACGTCGGGAGCCGCCGCGGAATATAAGCTGCCGGCCGGAGTGGATCCGTTGCCACCGTCCTGGCACTGGCGCCTGACGCCCGATGGCGATATCTTTTACTACAATCTGCGGGATCGCATCTCCCAATGGGAGCCACCCACCCCGGAACAGCGCCTACAAACTCTGATCGCCGTCGAGGATCCCGCGAAGCAACCGCCACCGTTGCAGGAGCTGCAGATCGATACGGCCAGCGAGCTCATCCACGTGGATGTGGACTATGTCGGATCGCTGAGCAACAAGTCCCTGGCCCAATATGTCGAGAGCAAGGTGAAGGAGCGCCGCGAGATGCGCAGGAATCGCCTCGTTTCGGTCCGCCAGATCAGTCCACGTCGCGACGAGGATCGTCTCTACAACCAGCTGGAGTCGCGCAAGTACAAGGAGAACAAGGAGAAGATCCGGCGTCGCAAGGAGCTCTACCGCCGGCGCAGACTCGACGCCGCCATAGCTGGGCCCGGGCCCGGGCCCGGTGGTTCCGGCACTACTACGGATGGAACTTCACCCAACAACTCACTGCCCATCCAGGGCTATCTCTACTCCTCCGACGAGGACGCTTCAACGGATGTCCCGGCCGTGGAGTTGCCGTTGATCGACGGCATTGTGGCGGGCGGGATGCAGGTGGACGAACTGGATGCTCTCAACATGGAGCCGAGCACAAGCCAGGCGGCAAAAGCGGCCGCAGCTCTGGCCAGCTTGATCAAGTTGCCAATAGCAGGACTCGTCCAGGTAGAAGAGGTGGGGTCGCCACCAGTTCAAGTGCTGGGCAGCAAGCGGAAGCTACCAATGCCACCAATCCTTGACTTCAAGCGCCAGCGATCGGCGCCAGATCACCGCATCAAAAAGAGCAAGACGTAAGATCTATATTCCGTTAGAAGGTGTCACGGTCGCCAAGGCGACCTTATGGCGACCGTGACACGGCACTGAGATATCCTTTTGAAATAATTCCCCTCCTTTTTTCAGAACCCTGTTGAGTAACATTGTGATTGGAGGACGCGAAGCCCATGGCAAGTTCCGTTCAGATATTAGTGGCACTGTGGCCGAATTCCTGCGTCCCTACCGCAAGGACACCTGCACCCTGGGACGCATCACCAGCGAGGAGGACTACCAATTCCTCATCAAGAGAGTAAGATCTATACTTTATAGAAGGATAGACTCCATCTATCATCCTGATCCTGTATTCCAGTTGACCCACCACATCACCACCAAGGAGATGCGATACTGCGACATGACCGGAAATCCACTGGCCTGTACCGAGTCCGTGAAGCACAAGTCCTATGACTTCATCAACCAGTATATGCGGAAGAAGGGACGCGTATACAAGAGGCCGGCGGACGAGACTATATTCTAAGTTCAAACCAAATTACGACTAGGACGTTTTTTTTTAGACATAAGAACACATTCATATAGGTTCCAATACCATCAATATACCCATCGCAGAGTGGGTAGATTTTGTAGCGAATAGTTATGTAGATAATCCCCAAGTAGCGGAAACGATACCAATTGCGTTTAAAAATAATTCGAGTCCTTATGATGATCCTTTTTTGAATCATTATCCTTCCTTATGGAAGCCATTGCGTACATAAACATCAAAATCTATTGAATAAGAAAACGGTTTTAAGTTTATTTCATCATCAGGACTAGGCCGGGCCATGCCAGGGTAAATACAAGGATTGGGTTTTGGGGTTTCTTGAGAGTGATGTTCACTGCTGATTGCCGGGAACAGCAGCTGCCTCTGGAGCTGCTGTACGGTTGGCCTCCTCCGGTTTCATGGCGGGGAACAGCAGTACCTCCTTGATGTTGTTCGAGTCTGTGAGGAACATGGCCAGTCGATCGATGCCCATGCCAAAGCCACCAGTGGGCGGCAAGCCGTACTCCAGCGCCGTGCAGAAGTTTTCGTCCACCAGCTGGGCCTCATCGTCGCCGGCCGCCTTGTCGCTGGCCTGCTGCTCAAAGCGCTCGCGCTGCACCACCGGATCATTCAACTCGGTGTAGGCATTACAGATCTCCTTCTTGGCCACGAACAGCTCGAAGCGTTCGGTCAGGCCGGGGCTGCTGCGATGGTACTTGGCCAGCGGGGACATGATCTGCGGATGCTCGCAGATGAAGGTCGGATTCACGCAGAACTCCTCGATGAACTCGCCGACCAGCTTGTCCAGCAGGCGGGCGGTGGTGCGCGGTGCCGGGCACTCCACCTGGTGCTTGACGCACAGCTGCGACAGGAACTGGTTGGTCTCGGGGGTGTTGAAGGTATCGGCCGAGGGGAACTTGACGTTCAGCTTCTCCTCCAGCGTCTTGATCATCGACACCCGCTTGAAGGGCGGTGTGAAGTCCAGCTCCTGCTCGGGGCCTTCGGGTCCCTCGGGATGGTAGATGATCTTGTAGGAGCCACGAATGGACTTGACCATGCCGGAGACGAGCTGCTCGGTGATGTCCATGACATCGGCGTAGTCAGCATAGGCCATGTAGAACTCGCACGTGGTGAACTCTGGGTTGTGGGTGAGATCGATGCCCTCGTTGCGGAACTGGCGACCGATCTCGTAGACGCGATCCAGGCCACCGACGACCAGCATCTTGTGGTACAGCTCGGGAGCGATGCGCATGAACAGGTCCATCTTGAGGTCGTTGTGGTGGGTGACGAAGGGCTTGGCGGTGGCGCCGCCGGCGATCATGTTCATCATCGGAGTTTCGATCTCCAGGAAGCCCAGACGATCCAGGAACTGGCGCACATACGAGATGATCTGGAAGAGCCAGGAGAGAGGTGATACCCTGAGGAATATACAGACTACTTGACATCCTTACCTTGGCCCTGATCTGGAAGTTCTCGCGCACTTTGTTGTTCAGGATCAGATCGAGGTAGCGCTGACGGTAGCGAGTCTCCTTGTCCTTGAGACCGAAATGCAAGTGGGGCAGCATGTGGAGGCAGGGCGACAGCAGCTGGATCTCCGTGGGCATCACCGAAAGCTCGCCCTTCTTGGTCTTGCCGGGGTGGCCGACCACGCCGATGATGTCGCCGCGTCGTAGCTTGGCCGTGTCCACTTCAAAGTCCTTCTCCGACTTGTAAGACTTGGCGCTGGCCATCACCTGCAGCTTGACGCCCTCGCCGCGCAGATCGTAGAAGATGAGCTTGGCGCCGGACTCGCGGATGGCGTGGACACGTCCCGCCACACTCAGGGTGACGTCCTCCAGCGTCTGGCCGTCCTGCAGATTGTTCTCGTACTGGGCGATGAAGTTCTCCAACGAGATGCTGACGTGGAACTTGTGTGGATAGGGATCCGTGGCGGGGGAGCGCTTCAGCTCCTGGACGGCGGCGGAGCGCAGCTTGAAGTACTCATTGGGCGAGATCTCTTCCTCCTCGGCGGCGGCGCTCTTCTTCTTTGGCTGCTGATCGGCGGGAGCGGCAGCCGCCTTGGTGGCCTCCTTCTCGGCCTTCTCCTTGGCCTTCTGCTCGGCCTTCAGCCGGCGTTTGAGTTCACTGTAAGGGCGAAGAAGAATCATAGGGTATTAGAAGGATCTAGATAGGATCGGAGACAACCCACAGTTTGTTTCGCTTGCTGGGTGCGCTCTGCCACCAGGTCGTGTGGAGGGCGGCCATGCGTGCGTCTGTCACCACGGGCCGTGGCTTGGCCAGAGCCTGCAGAGTCCTCAGGCCGCACCGCAACAGCATCTTATTCTTAAAATCCCAAAGACGCGGCTACGAAAAGCTGGAACGTTGCCGAACTTGCCAATATCTTCGACCTAACCTCACACGACGACCCGGAATATTGGACCCGGAATCTGTCCGGGACAGGATTCTTGAGACTTCTTTGGTTGGAAACACTTACTTCTTGGAAAGCTCTCCACTTGCGGCGGCCATGCTGGCTTCGATGCGGGACACGTCGCTCGGAATCCGTCGAAAGGAGTCGGAAAAACAAAACAAATGTGCGAAGTGCGCCACACACAACTTTGGAAAGAAAGTGGCCAGATCGGACCACTTGGGGCTGCCAGTGCTGCCCCCTCGGCTTAAAAAACCTGCGACTATTGGCTTTTTATTTCATCATTCGCGTGGGAAATTAAATGATTAAATATTTCATCATTCATTTAGAAACAAAAACGTAAACAATGATGCAATGGTAAACAATTAATAATAATCAAAGGTATTAATAGTTATTCTTAATTAATGTTTAATATTCTAAGAAATTTAAAGAGGAAGCTTAAGAAAGAAGAGGCAAAGAGCGCCATTAATCAATTTCCAATAATAACTGGAAAGAGGCAACTACTGAAATATAAAGGTAAGACCTTTTAAAATTAACGTATTACAAAATTTAAATACATGTCTATACGTTTACATTTTTATTATATTTTTAAAATAATTAATTAATTAATTTCCTTTGAAATTTGAACTTGCTCTCTTTCCCCCTTCTCTTTCTCATTCCAGCGTTCCACTCTTATGGCAACACTAAAATGTTGGCTACACTAAATGGCAACACTATTTTCCCGAAAATACCAAAAAGCACGTTTCTCTGGAAAGTCCCGTTCACACTGTCTGGTCACACAGTAATGAGCAAACCACAAGCGCTTCGTTTTTATTCGCGAAATTTGTTAATTAAAGTGGAATTTGGCAAGAATTGGAAGATTAATAAGTGAAGTGAGTGAGCGCGCAAATTGGAGATGCATCCGGGCCAGTGAGCGAGTGCGTCCGGAGCCGAGCTGGCGGCGGCAGCGAAATGCGCAGCGCTAACAACGCAAAAGTAGAGCAGTTGCTGTAACGGTACGTTGGCAAGGGGGAAGGGGCTGAAGGAAGGAAGGAGGGAAGGCAAAGGCAAAGCAAGAAGCGTCTTGATTTTCGGATAGCCAACCTAACGGGACTATCTGAAAAAAAAAGGTCCGACAGATGGAGCCCCCAGCAACACCAGTGGCTCTCGCGCCTTTGGCAGCCTCGACGTCATGCCTGGCCGACAGAAGTCCCGTCGAGCCTCTGGCACTGCGATCCCAAGCAGAAGAAGCAGAAGAGGAGGACGACGAAGATGATGATGATGAGGAGGAGGAAGAGGAAGAAGACGAAGAAGAAGAGGAGGAGGAGGAGGACGATGATGCGAAGGAGGCCTTTTATGAGGCGAGAAATGGCAACGAAAGCGACGAACTGGAGCAGGCCTTTCAAAGTGCTCTTACCTTGGATGTTCAGGTGAATGTGAGTGAAGTGCCAGAGGATTCACCCAAAGGTGGTCTGGTTAGGGATGAGCCGGCGCGGGAGCAGAACCTCCAGGAGGAGCTGCAGCTTCAAGGAGCCTGCGGGTTGGCCAAGCCATCATCCACCAATCACAGTAAGTATCCCCATATCTATGCCCATACCCACCATAAATATTAAAAATTTTGAAATTCTCACTAGCCTCGAAAGAAGATAAGCCCGTAGAACCACACGAACCCCGTCACCAGACCCTGCTATCCACCAAATCCTGCGAAACTCCAGCCAATACCAGCACGCTATCGCCCACCAACTCCTACAACGGCAGCATCGGCAGCGACGGCGGCAGCAGTGTGGGTGGCGGTGCCCGACGCAAGTCCTGGACCCTGTCGCCCCAAAGCGGCAACTCCACTCCCCTCAGCGGAGCCAAGAAGAAGACCAAAGCGGGAGCCACGGCAGCACCCAGCTCGAGCTTGTCCAATACGAACGGCGAGGGGTTCAACCTGTGGGTGGCACGCGAGTGCTTCGAGACTGTGCCGGCCGAGATGGTGGACACGTTGAGCATGGCCGAGGTCAACGAGGAGGTGGACGAGGAAGACGAGGAGGAGGATGAAGAGGCGGCCGCCGTGGAGAGCCTTCTGGGGGCGGCAGCCGCGCTACAGGCCTCGGCCCACGTGCAGCGCCGCCAACAGCAGCAGAAGCAGCAACACCAGCAACAGCTCCAAGCACACCACCACCAGCAGATCCAACATCATCACTTGAGGCAACCATCGCCGCCACAACATCGACCCCTGGAACGCTCCTGGCCGCCGAGAGCTGTGGGGCGTGATCTCAAGCTGCAGGGCGATGTCTTTCAGTTCGACATCCTCGACACGGACGAAAGACTGGCGGAGGATCTGCCAGCTCCAGGCAGTGGCAGCTCCAACAACAACTCGCCCCTGGCCACGCCGCCAGTGCGCTTCAAGCCTCTACTGAAGAAGAAGATCGGGCCGGATAGCTACATCAACACCATCAGCACCCAGAAGGTGCCAGCGCATCAGAGCTACGAGTTCCCGACCTTCCCGAGCTCGTCCGGCGGCGTGGCCTCTTCCTCGGCATCCTCGTCCTCGCCGAACAACCTCCAGTTCCCGTATCTCCGCCAGCACCGTCCACTCACCCGCGCCCTGTCCAACGGCAAGGCCAGTTCTTCGGAGGAGCAAGCCTCGCCCCGACTCCTGCTCTCGCCCAAGCGGCCACGGAGTCCCCCATCTGGGTGCTCAACGCGCAGCGCCTCGCCCTTGGATTTGAGTCTCAGCCCGGAGCAGCACTCCCCCACCCGCGGCAGGGGAGTGGGTGGCGTCCTGCAGGACCCAGTGCCACCGGGAACACCCACATTCCACGGCCAGCGGCCGCAGCAGAGGCTCCTGAAGCGTGTGGGCGGCGGAGCTGGAGCCGGAGCGGGAGTTGTGGCCAGCGGCTCCTCTCTGGTCTGCCCGCCAACACCCACTCACCATGCCCGGCGGCATGCTCGCCTCCAAGCCGTCACTGCCAACTCGAGCCTCGCCAGCGGCGGCGGAGTGCCGCACCTAGCGGACGCCACACCGTCCGCCACCGCCTCTAGTCAATTGGATTACATTTACCTGCAGGACGACGGTGCTGCACCGGCGCCGTCGGGCCAGGACGCGGCCAACGGCGACGAGGTGGTGCACATCAGCAGCACCCGACTGCCCTCCATACCCGAACGCAGTGCCGCAGCGGCGGCGGCAGCGGCAGCAGCAGCAGCGGCCGCTGCAGGAGCGGCTCTCATGGAGCCCGGAACGGGAGCCGGATCGGGTGGTGGAGTGGTGGGCAGTGGCGCCACGGCAACCGGAGAGCCACCGTTGCCGCCGGCGTGGGAGGCCCGGATGGACAGCCACGGTCGGATCTTCTACATCGATCACACGACGCGGACTACCTCCTGGCAGCGACCGGGAGCGGCGCCCAGTGCCGGGCCAGCGGGACGGGAGCAGCACCATCGCCAGCAGCTGGACAGACGCTACCAGAGCATCCGCCGGACCATCACCAACGAGAGCCGGGCAGCCCAGCTCTACAACCTGCCGACATCCGGCGGCGGTACAACGAATCCGGCCGCTCCCACGGCATCGCCGCCGCCGACGGCTACCTCGTCGGCCGCCTCCGGCCTGCATCCCGCCATCCTGATGCTCTGCCGGCCGGACTTCTACTCGCTGCTGCACACCAACGAGGCCGCCCTGGCGATCTACAACCGGAACGCCGCCCTCAAGCACATGGTGATGCGGATCCGGCGCGACCCGCAGTGCTTCCAGCGGTATCAGTACAACAAGGACCTGGTGGCCCTCGTCAACACCTTCGCCCAGCTGAACCGCGAACTGCCCTCGTGCTGGGAGACCAAGCTGGACCAGTCCGGCAAGCAGTTCTTCATCGACCACCAGCACCGACGCACCTCCTTCATGGATCCCCGCCTGCCGGTGGAGTGTCCACGGGTGGTGCGCCACCGCCAGCAGCATCCCCAGCAGCCGACTGGCTATTGCCATCCCGACCTGGTGGACGGCAACTGCCTGTCGGCCACCAGTGGTCACATCAGCGCCAGTCCAGCGTCCTCCGTCTCCGGAGTACCGCCCCTGCCGCCGCCCAGACCCCTGTCGTCATCCGGCACCTCGCGGAGTCACGGCCATGGCCACAATTGCACCACGGCGGCGGCCATCGCCTGCCTCAGTCTGGGCGGGGCAGCGGGCGGAGCTGTAGGCGTGGGCGTGGCAGCCGGAGCAGGAGCCGCCGCCGCCGGAGGATACGAAGACGTCCCCATTGCATACAACGAAAAGGTAATCTTTAGGATATAGACTTGACTTTATTCCGATTTAATATCTCACCTTTGGATCTCACTTTCAGGTGATAGCCTTTCTGCGCCAGCCGAACATCCTGGAGATCCTGCGGGAGAGGCAGGGCCAGCACACCGTCTCCCGGTCCCTGCGTGAGAAAATCAATATATTGCGAGTGGAGGGAGTCCCGGCCCTCGAGCGACTGGGCCATGACCTACAATTGACCATTTTGCTGAGGTGAGTGCACTGACCTGGTTTCCTATAATGTCACTATGACTAAGTCATTGGGTTGCTGACATGGTAGAGGGTTGTGGGTAGTGGGTGTGTTAGGGGGGAGGTGTCATTACAAATTCAAGATTTTATTTAGGGAGTTTAAAGTTTAAATCAATGAGTGAATGTTTTTAAAACTTGTATTTTTCTTTTAAAACTAAAACATGATTTATAAAGGTCTGTCTTAAAGTTAAAAAAAGTAAAGTAAAGTAGACAAAAATGGTAGATAAACTATAAACTATATATTTAAACTATAACTATTTATTTAAACTATAATTTTGTAAAAAAAAAGTCAGAGATTCTTAAAATATTTTTAAAAATTTTCATAAAAATTAGACCTTTTATGACATATCATAAATGCCCTCTTTCTTGTCCATTGATTTTATATTTTATTTCTATTCATATTTCTATTCTATATATCTTTTCTATATTTATATATATTTATATTCCATTCTATTCATACCTACCTATCTATATAAATCTATAGTCCTATCTCTATAGGGGTATCTATATATACCTATCTATCTATATCTATAAGATAAAGTAGATTTAAATATTTAAAGCTTTAATATTTGGTTATAGCTTTAATATGTAATATTTTTGGACTTGGATAGAAAAGAATATCTTACAGGCTATAACTTTTAGCAGGCTTATTACAGCCTTTGTCCGCTTGTCCGTTAATTATCTATTTTATTTTATATATTTTATTTTACATATTCTATAATACTTATGTCTAAAAAATAATATCTTCAATATTTTATATATAGCTGATTTAAAACTTGAATATTTTTTTTTTTTTAATATACGCCTTATATTGTGTGATACTTTTAATATTAAATATTTTACCATTTAAAAAACCACATTTAATAGTCTATAATATTATAGGCTATAGTCTCTATAGTCCGCTTGTCTGCACCTCGATACTAAAGTCTACTAAAGCTAATTCTATGATTCGTAAATTTAATGAATTCTACGAAAAAGAGAAGATCTTAAAGACTATAAATTTTAGCTCTGTCCGCTTGTCCGTCTGTCCGTTCAAGTAATTCTTATTATCTTGTTCTTATACCTATATAATTCAATATACTAAAGATAATCCTATAATAAAATCAATTTTAAGAATCAATAATTAAAAAAAAAACAAGATCTATAGTTCATACAGACTATAATTCATAACCATGTCCGTTTGTCCTTCAGACTGTCCGCTTGTCTGTCTGTCCGTTACTTTTGTCCGTTATGTTGTAAACCTACAAAGACATTAAAGTCTACCAAGGCCAACGTTATGATCAAATACCAATTTTCAGAATAAATAATTTCAAAAGAAGAAGATCTTATAGACTATAGTACGTAACTATGTCCGTTTGTCTGTCTCACTGTCCGTGTGTCCGTTTATTTGTCTGTAATGTTATAGAACTTTTAAACATTAATATACTAAAGCTAATCCTATTAAATGATCTTTCAGACTATAGTTAGTAGAAGTATTAGTATTTCAGTAGTATTACTATCCATGTCCGTTAGAGCTTGTCCGCTTGTCCGTCTGTCCGTTCAGGTTGTCTCTCTTCTTCTTCAAAGCCCAGATACTAAAACCCAGTCTAGAAAAGCCAAAGTACAATGTATAACAATTTTCAAAAAAGCAGATCTTACAGACAATAATTGATAGACATGTCCGAGTGTCCGTCTGTCCGCCTGTCCGTCTGTCCGTCTGTCCGTCTGTCCGTTGGCTTGTCCGTCTATTAAATCATAAACAAATGCCACAATAACAATCCACACTCTATAGTTAGTGACTGTTGACCACCAAACGAACTGGCCGTCATTTCCACCTGCACTTGACGAAGGTTTCCCAGGCCCCTAACCGAATCCAAATCCGAATCCGAATCAGAGTCCACCTGGGTTGCCAATAGCAGCATTGGTGCGTCATGGAGTTGGAGGTTGGTGTTGGCTTCGATCGATTTTGGCAGCGGTCCTGCTTGAGTGCTCCCCTCCAACACGTTAATGTGTCTTAATTGCTTTTGAAAATCGCAACGAAGGTCGTTCGATGGCTAATTTTCCAACCAAAACAAGGCTATATATATAGTTGGTAGTTGGTAGTTGGTAGTGGGGGATTATTGCCTAATTGGCCACAAATATTGAGGAACTGCAGCCACATGCATTCGAAACCTCAAAACTGGATAATCTCTTAATCCCCTGTAAATCTTGACATAATCTCGATCTCTATCATGGCTTGTCATAAATGGCCAATACCAATACACCAATAAACCAATTTCAATACCGATTAAGCCATTTAATTGCATTTCAATTAAACAAAATTATCAAAAATGTCGCGCTTCATTGCCCATTCCAAACAAAATGAGCCGTGGGAGTTTGTTTTTTGGTCATTAACCGGAGAGGAAGTAAGTCTATTGCCTCTTGATATTGGCTTGCTTCTTATACTATATAGTGCTATATACTATATATCCATTATGATCTCGGATATTTCAATTATAAACGTTTTCTCATTTCCCGTTCAAGTTACTCTCAACAATTGATTTTAAAGGGAAGTCCATGAATTATTTTTTGCTTTTTTTTTTCCGAGTCTGCTATTGAAAATGAAAGTTTAGTTTTTTAATTTTTATGGGAAGTATCTATTAGATTGGGAACTTAATTTAATTTGATGGCCTTGATAACATTATAGGATAGGATATGATGGGATATTTTTTTCTTTTTTTTAAATATAGAATTAGGGATTTTATTTAATTAGATTGCCCTGATCTCAATATGTAGGATGATAGGATATGAATTATAGGGGTTTTTTTTTATAAATATTTTAAAGATAAATATATTAATATTTTAAAGATATATATTCATATTTTTAAGATAAATATATTAATATTTGAAAGATATAGAAAATATGTTAGTTTATTTTATGGTATATTTTAAAAAGAATACTAGGATATCCTGAAGTAGTCTTTTTTAGACATATTGAGCTCATTCTGGTATTTTTTTTTTTAGATTTCAATAATTTTTTTTTCTTAATAATAATTCAAACTTTTTTTTATAAAAGGTTTTTTGTTAAGTCATTTTTTTTTAAATTGAAAAAAAAAATCAATTTTTCCATTTTTTTTCTTTAAATTTTGTCATATTTTGATGGCCTAAATGGCTTAGAAATGATTTTATTTTTAAGTTTTTTTTATTTAAAATTTTTTTTATATTTTTAAATTTTTTTTAACTTTTTATTTTTTTTCAATTTTTTTTAACTTTTTTTTTTTTTTTTTTTTAGTATAAATTTTTATTTATTTTAAAAAAATTTTGTTTTGCCTCTTAGTTTTTGCTTGAAATTATCTCTATTTCAAGTTTATCAAAAATGTGTTACATTTTATTTTTCTGCCCTTTTAAGACCACTTTTCTTGCCCTTATTAGAATACCTCCCCAATGCCCAAGCCTAATGGCTTTTAAAAAGCCCCATTTTCTATATAACCGTTTCGTGTGATAGTCATTTCCAAAAGTGATTTACAAAATATCGAATAACTGATCACCACCCGAGAACTCTGAGGAACTGACATTCTGAGTGACAGAAGTTGGCGATAACTGGGGAGGAGGGGGGGTTTATTGCACAACTCTGGATCGGTTTGGAGGATGGCAGAGGCTTAGGTCACACCACTCAGTGGTCATTACTCACAGGCCACCTCAGCGAGCAATTAAAAGCCCAACTAAAGTAAACACACACGTTTACTCGTATTAAAATTCCAGTTAATTTCGCCAATGGGTTAAATATTAAAAATATTAAAAATAGAGGTCTTGGGGGGAATAAAAATAGAGACTATTTATAGCTTTTTTGTTTTTTTTGATGGGGAGTGCCACGCCCTAAAAAGCTGAAACATCTGCCACATAAATACGAGAATATTGAAAGTATTCCGAGGGTTCTCTTCTCTTCTCCACTAATCCCCAAGCTCGAGCGAGGCTCTCGATTTAACCCAATTCCAAAACGAAGTCTAATTTATGGCAAAAAATAGAAAAAAACTTCAAGTTGGGCTCCTCTTATTTTTGGGGGTGTGGCAGTGTCGTCATCTGTATAGAGTTAGGGGGGATAGTATCATCATTATCATTATCATTATCATCGGCACCCCCGCCGGAATTATCATTGAACTTTGTCGCTGCGTCGCTGAAGCGTTGACAAGTTTTTAGTTTACTTGGGAGTTTCTTGGGAGGGTATAGTTGTTATGGTATAAGGTTTGTAGAGAATAGGTATTAAAAATATAGAAGGTACTATAGGTACTATTAAAGTACTTTAGAAGGTATTAAAGTACTTGGGACTTTACTCTTTTTTGGGGTATAGTTGTTATGGTATAAGGTCTGTGGAGGGATGGGTATTAATAGTAGTATCCAAGGTATTATGGTACTTGGGAGTTAGCTTTATAGGGGATTTTATTTTATTTAGAAAAAAATTTGATATCAAAAATACAAAATTTAAGCTTTGAAATAATTAAATTATTAAGGAGTTCAACTATTTTAAAATTATAGACAAAATATGAAGAAAAACAAAAGGGATTTTTATTAAATATGGATCTAAACTTAGCGTCTTATAGAGTACCTTGTAAAGTACTATATACTTTTAATATCAAATTCATATTATAAAGTTCTTATAAATATTATTGCAATTAAATACTTTAATAAATTAGGTTACCTAAAAAATAGGTCTTTCAAATAGTTCAATAAATATTAGTTTCAAAAATACAGAATTTCGGTTAAAAAAATGAAAAAGAATAAATTCAAAGAGAATTTTGAACTTAAAACTATAACCTTTAAATAAAAATTAAAAGAAGTTAAACAATTTGATAATTTTTTATTAAAAGTAAAGAAGTTAAAAGTAAAATTAAAAGTAAAGAATATCTCAAAATAGTTCAATAATGAGTAGTTTCAAAAATACAGGTTTTAGGTTCAAAAATTTCTAAAAAAAAAAAAAAATTATAAGGAGAATTTTGAGCATAAAAGTA